GTGATGCATTGTCCTTGTGATGGTGGCCAGATTAATCAAAATGTACATTTGATCTAAAAATGTACTATACTGCACCAATCCCAAATATGAAAAACCACACAAAAGCTTGTGTGCAGGCTCTGTATTTGTCTGGGTCTGTGGCCCTTCTTTAATTATGATGTTACCTGCATGAGCAAATTCTCTGATTGAAAGTTAAAATTATAAAAAAATATCTACATCCCCATCTCGCCCCATGGTCTAATCCAAGTATGTCAATGAGCATTTTATTATGCACTTTAGAGAATCATTTAATGTCCGAGTCACTGACCCTCAACGATGGCGAGATCATCTCAATTAGATCAATCAAGAGCAACTGCAGCATTTAAAACCATCAAAACTATAAAGCACACGCACGCACGCACGCACACACACACACACATGCAATGCCCTGTTATTGGAAAATATAGAGTGATATTAATGAAAAAAGACCCCGGTTTAAGCTTTGTGATGATTTATTTTGCACTTCTTACTCCATTCTATTTATTCACAAACAATAGTTACTTACGTTACAGATTAGAATTTCATATAAAATAAATTATAATCAGATAAAGTATGATATTTGTTATAGATTAATCTACCAAACACAGGTAATAGATGCACTGACAATGGTGATTCTGCATTTTTAGTTGCCACTTTTTTTTGCACGTAACATTTAGAATGCTAGACTTTTACTTCCAACTTGTTTCAAGTGTATTGGTCTTGCAGTTGTACCACTTGATATTAATGACTTTAATTATTCCAGTACTGATAAAACCATTCTGTCCTTTTTATTTAATTACTTTACCTCCTTTTACACATGTTGACATTTTTTCGCAGACTTCCGCAAAGACATTAAGCTAATTAGCGTTCAGAAGGTCAACATTTTAATAATCTCCCTCCTGTCAGGGTTTCAAATAAAACCATGTCATCTTTTTAATTCATGGCCCTTTTTCTTTTTGCAAAGCAGTGACGGCTTAATCTAATGTGATGGTCAAATTAACATTATCTCAGCGGAAGAAGTTCAAACCAAACACATCCTCTCTTCTGTCTGGGTTTCATTTGGAAATCAAAACCCTATTGTCCTTTTAATTATTTTTGCCCCTTTCTAATTAAACTCGTTGTTTCTCAGACCTTGTGCAAAGAAACTTAATTAGTTAAATTAGTGTAATTCCAGCTGAAGAAGCTCATTGTACTCTTCATAGGTTTACGTCATATTGATCAAATAAAACCATGTTAGTGTTTTGTTCCTTTTTAATGTAAAAATGTGTTTCTCTGGCATGGCAAAAGATGTCTCCTGAACTTACATTACATAGATCCATATCAGCATAACATTAATAAAATAAATACAATATAAGAATAATAATCAATATAAATATTGCGATTCAAAAGTCCAGAGTGATTAATACAACATGTGTTGAGAAAGGTCAGCACATTGGTCTCTCATACATGACTTGTCCATCTTGAGATCTTGAGCAAAATTCTAAAATTACACCTAAACAATCTGTTGCATAAATATTTACTCTAGTGTATATCCAAGTAAGGGGCTCCTTTGTTTTTTTTCTTCATCTTCATTGGCTCCATGGCCACCTTCTTTTGACTCCACCATAACCCCGAGGACACACACACACAAAGTTATCAACACCCTAACAACCCAAAACTTACAGTCCAGCCCCTGGAGGAAAATCAAAAGCCATCTGGGGAAACCACCTTGGAGAAGGTCTGAACACCTCAGGAATCATGCAGAATGTGATGTGACGCGGAAGAGGAGGAGGATGTCGAGCCAGATGTTGAGGCGCTATGCTTCAGGGAGTCGGCTCTGGGCAGCTGTGAGCCTGAGCGAACAAGTGATTGACAGACAGGGCGACGTATGTGGAGGACGCTACTGTATTCATATGCAGAGAGATAAGAGCCATGTGAGCCTGTTGTCAGCACACTGGAGCTTTACCCTGATGTGCATGCTCACAGGCACTCCTTCTTTCTCCCCCCAACAGATGCACCAATGACATGTCTTAAGAGCTGAGAGGCAGCTCAGAGAGAGGTTTTATTTCACACGGCTCCTCAGAATTAGTCAGAGGGGAGCTTGAAAGCTATACCGAGGCTCAAAGTATCTAGGTTCGCTGAGCCAGTCACTCTTAAATTGGAGGAAATGTAAATGACTTACATAATCAGCACACTACTTATACACCCCTCCCCAAAAAATGTGAAGTCAGCACTTAACAACCCTGTTGATAACTGAGTAAAAACAGCCAAACATAGTCAGTAATGTTCTGCAAGTCAATTTACAGTTTGACCAAGTGAGCAGAATACATCTGACTCCTTCTGCTGCATAATGAGGCTCATCCTTAACCCAGAGTCATCAGCATCACTCGGGTGAAGTAGAAGCTGTTACTCTGTTTTATTGCATTTCAGCATGTTAACGGCTGCTTCTTAAAAATGTACATTTGGCCTGTATATGTGCACAGGTGGAAACAACTGTTCATGGTAAAGACTGTGGATTTATTTTTTCCTTCACGCTGGATTATCCCAATTAATTTCAATTTCAGTTGGCAGCCCTTGACCGCCAAGACAATAGACTTTTTTCCATTTTATTGAGACAGATTGACCAAGAGTGTTGCTGCCATCTACAGACTCATGATTAGATCTGTTACCCCCCCCCCCCCCCCCCCCCCCTCCTGACACAAACACACACACAATGTAAACAGCCAAGGCCTTGAATGAAAATGACCTGAGATGTCTGAGCCTGCTGCAGAGGTTTTGATGCAGAGCATTCATACAGCTATACATGAGAGCAAGATATTTTTCACTTCCGTTATTCACACCCAGTCCCGGGGTAAGCTGTCTGAAAGTCACAGCTAATTTCTGCCTTCAGAATAACCTGTGGCGCTTTCCTGACATCCCTTTGTCTTTTTATGTAATGTACACACGCGTTGACATACAGTCGCTCTGTAACCTTTTTGGCATGTGACCTCTTCACACGATGTAATGTCTATTTTCGGACCCATGTGAAAGTTTGGCATACCTCCGGACAGTTATCAAATACATACAGAATTATTTAATTGTTTATGTACTTGAGGAAGTCAAATAAGCCACAGAAAAATGGCAACAAATTGGTACAAATAAATAAATAAATATGCATATTTTTCCAATTCTATTCATCATCAGGACTCTTTAGGTGGTCCTGACCCACAGGTTGGGGATCACTTGTGGTGTTTAACTTTGGGGTGTACAGTCATTTCCATATAGGTAACCCTAAACTAAACCATAACTATACTTACCTAACCTTAACCTCTACCCAACCCCGGTGACGACAGGAACCGTTATAGCTCATGATAAATGTGACTGCTGTGAAACCAAATCAGAAACAACAAATTCTTAACCTCAGCAGCTGACGTGTCCTGCTTAAACTAAGGAAAATTATGCAAACTATATCTAAAATAAGACTCATGTCCCCTGCCTTTGGGTGACCCTGCATGTTCCTGCAAGGGTTACCAGCTGCAGATGAAGCACAGCCCCCTGTTTGTAGGTACATAAATCACCTGTCAGGAAAAGAAAAAGCTGGAAGGCTGTACGAGCCCCCTCCCGGAGTGAAAATAACATAGCTCTCTGCTGGATGGGCCAGCAGGTCGAGGTGCACTGGATAGACAACTGAGCATTGTGGGAGATATTTTGAAAATGTCATCCTGCAACAGCAAGAGCGGCAGGGAGGCCCGCACGGCCCGCAGGGGTCAGGGGGATTTATTATGGCTTTCATCAGCGGGGCACGATTGGTCGGGACTCACTGGTGGATCAAAGGCTCGTCATAATTTCTGTCATCTACTAAAAGTCAAATTCAAGCAACTACCGAACCGAAGGCGACGACTGTGTCAAGAGCAGGACTAGCATTCCACAGATGTCTGCTACATGGAAAAATGCCCTGTTAAAATTGCCATGTGCTGAACTACTTTCACTCCAATGGAAACATTAACTACGGAGCCCCCCATCCCCCTTGTGAGGGAAAAATAAATTAAAACACGACTCTCGTTTTGAGGGATGACTCAGCTTTCACAAGGTGTGCTGAGAGAGCACTTCCAAGGGGTATTATGACAATACACACAGATTTCTGTTGTTTCATTTGATATTGTGCGCCTGTTACACAGAGGGGAAATGTTTTTTACTCTGACATATTCACTCACAGAGAAATAGAAACCAATATAGGAGTCATGCCATTTGATTTTCTGACCATATTTTAGGATGAATGCATTCAATGTTTTTCACAGATTACAAGCAGATGAAGTTCAATGTCTAAGTGACCTTTGTTATTGTGACCATGCTTACAAATCAACATTCCCCCCTCCCCCCTCCTGACACTTTGGGCGACCACATTAAAGCTTTTCTGCCGTTTTGAATGAGAAGAGTGTGTTTAGGGAGGGGGTAATCCTCAATAGCCTCTGGGTGTTATTGCTCACACTCTTACCAGCTGTTTTCATCAGTGTGGTGTTGTGGTGCTGAAAGCCTGGCGGGTGCTGCCCCCCTGTGTTTGCACGCTGTAACTGCTGCGGCTCACAGTAATGATGCACCCCAAACAAATACAAGGGGTGAAATGAGGTGGGCGTGCACTGAACAGCAGAATAACTCCCATTACAGACTGTATAGCTGTCATGCTATAGGTAATACACTCCAGTAGTAGACATGGCTCACATCCTAAACCTCCACAGTACAGCAACATTAGGGAAATGACTTTGGGTTAATACACTAATGCACCTGTAAGCTGGTGCCAATTCTGTAAGGGCCACTGGTTACAGACACGGGGGGTTGTCTTTACACAAGAATTGTATATAGTTTTTGGGATTAATTGCCCTGACAAGGTGAGGTGAAGGACGTTTGTGCAGTTACGATATTGAAAATAATATCAGTTGTCTCAATGAATGAAAAATGGAGATGCTGTTTGTTACACCGTTCATGTCAAATCCCACCTGACTTTTGCTGAGAAAGCACCACAGAAGCAAAATGTTAATCAATGTTTATTCAAACTAAAATACATCCAGGATTATCACAAAGACAGAAATACAGCAGATTCATTTAGTGTCGTCTTTGAGGCACATGGGGAAACAGTGAGTGACTATCATGTGTCCTTTAAATACAATCATATATTCATGGTCTATAGAAAAGTGAACAAATGTTAATTTATAAAAACAATCTAAAAAGAGAGACATCAATAGAAATGGGAATAAGGCTGAAAGAGAGACAGTAGGTCCTTACACAAAGTTGACAATTTTGGCATCAGTGGATAAATCCCTTGTATAAAAAACGGCGCAAACATGAGGCACTTCCTTATGAGCAATATGAGTGGCACTGCTTGTATGTAACATTATCATAATGACTTTATTAAGATCAACTTGAGTTGACCTGCTTTGAGTTAAAGCAGGTCATTAAGGTGGCAGAAATGATCAAACATGATAGGACAATATGAAGACACATAGGTAACAATTATAGCTCACAAGAAAGCACCTCTAATGTTGAAAACAAACATTTACAAAATATAAAAACGAACAGTGTAAAAGTTTAAAAGCCACTAATGCACAGATATTTTAAATGCATGACTGGCTAGTTAAAGAGGAATCAAAATGCTGTTGCAGTTTAGGGGGCTCCAGAAGGTGGGCTTGTTAAAACTCACTGCTGGGACCAGGGTTTACATTTCCTGCAGGGAAAGGTGTAGCACCTGGTCCACAAACAAGTGTACATCCATGGAATCGGAGTGGAAGAAAACTACAATGTTTCAGTCCCTAGGAGGCTGTCCCACACTCATTTATCTTAGAAATCCCATCAGTTTCTCTCTGAGGGTTTCGCTGTGATCTTGAAGATGTAGCTGAGGCTGCAAATGGAGTGCCTAATTACTTCAAAAACCTTGTAGTGTTTTTCCACCCTTTGTTTACTAAAATGAGTTCCTCAGATGTGCAATTTGATCCCTCGCCAAAATGTCCCTTCCCCTATGTGCAAGGGAAAGAAAAGAACCTATGGGCTATTTGAGTATGGCATGTGTTGTTGGAGTACCTCCCTGTCCCACACGTTTCTTCTTCTGCTTCCCTCTTTAGTACGGCTCTGCCTTTAGACTTCGATATAGGCAGCATGTAAACACCATCCCTATGACCTGGGGGTTGGATGGCAGAGAAGAAAAACACAATTTAGCAAATTCTCCATGGATATACGTTTATTGAATCTCTATGTATGTTGAGCAAACTGTAAAAAGAGTTGACTTTATTTCTCACCTGTACGCAGGCTATCCCAACACCCACCGCTCCGATGATCTTCAGATGGTCCAGGATGAATTTCTCCAGTTTGGAGATGCACCCCCCCTTAATGAAAACAAAGAGAGTCGTCATGTTGATGTGGGAGTCTCACTGCAAACAAATGTTGTGTATACTGCTCAGATATTTCATTTCTTCTAACTCTGTTGTTCTTATACAATGTTGAAATGTAGCTAGGTACAAGTACCTACACATACTACTGTACACATTGAGGAAATACTGCACTTTTGCATACTATACTTCTACTGCACTACTCCAGAGGGTGATATTGTACTCCACTACATGTATCTGACAGCTTTAAATGGAGATTTCTGCATTAAAAAAAAAACACGTAAAAAGTGTATAAAATGTATTTTGTGATGATTTAAATTATCCAACAACAGCACAACCATTAGTTCATAATTTGTCGATTGATCAATTAGTCAACTGATGGTAAATTAATTGTCAACTATTTTGTACATTTATGTTATTTTTCAAGAGAAAACATTTTATTTGTTATGATTTATTATATAATAGTATATTATGCACATATACAGAGGGCACTTTTCTGCATTAAGTATTTATACTTTAAATACTTTAAATTGTCCTGGCTAAAATTGCATATTTGTACTAATGTAACATGACTCCTATGGAGTATTTCTACAGTGTGGTATTAGTACTCTTATTTAAGTGTAGGATCTGAATACTTCCTCCATCACTGCCATCACACCACCCATCTCAGTGCTGACATGCTGAGACATGACAGAAATACTGATCCCCCCTGCTGTGTAAAGCCCCCATCCTGCTCTCACCTCCACCTTGTAGATGTTGGACGGGTGGTCCCTGCGGCCACAGAGCGTGGTGAGACTCTTGCAGCAGCTGTCAGGCACCACGCGGCCATCCGCCTCTCTGGAGCGGATCCACACGCTCTCAGCCCAGTCCGACGAACTGTTGCTGCCACAGCACTTAAACTGAGCGAGACACACAAACACATTGCCTATCTTTAGACCACTTTGATGGTAGGGGCGTGAATCCTTCTGTATCTCCAGCATCAATTTTAATCCTTTGGCTCATGATTCATAAATAACATTATTAAGCTTGTTAGTGTTTACCTAGCTGCCTTTTAGTTTATCAGAAACACTCACACTGTAACCTTGGACAAAACGAAAGACTTGTTGAGTAGGATTACTGTCCCTGAGTAGCAATATCTGGGCTGTTTTGTAGAAGAAAATAAACATTTCTTTAAAAATATCTTTTGGGAAGTTGTGAATGGATTAGGAATCACAGAAAATACATCTGGATTCTTACAGCAGTCTATCTTTCCCTCACCCCTAATTTATTGGAGTTGGAGTAGTAAACTTCCTTGACGTCTAACAGCCCGGGGCAACTCATATTTTAAAACTGAGAATAAAAAATGAACCTAACTGAAGTCTCGACTGCTGCTCACATTTATCCGTTCCTTCATGTGTCGTCTTGTATAAGCATAGAGAGGGTGAATTACAAAACAGGATGAAGACAAGTCCATCATGCTTAGCTGAAGACTGAGGGACTGGAATCGGATTTGTTTTTGACTCGCCCTCATCACCGAAATCTCTAATCTGATGGGATGATAGGGTACCAAAACCAATCAACAGGCCTCAAGAGAGTCAATGAGAATCTCACACGTAAGCTCCTGTTCGCTACAAATAATGATGGTGAACAATGTATTTTGGGCCAGAAGAAAACTGCACTCTTTACAATCGGTTATCATTTAAGAGCTTATGTATAAAAATACAATTCAATGTACCTCAGCTACAGACGCTATGACACATTCATAGTAAAATTGCAAAAAATGCAGTTTCCAGCCCCTCCAATAAGGAGACTTCCTGCTTCGTCTGTTGGGAGATTTTCTATTTTAAATCTGGACTGACAAAACGAGAAATTTGAAGATCTACTTTGAGAAACTTGGATGGATATTTTCACGAATTCTGACATTTTATAGACCAAACCATTAAAAGACTAAATGATAATGTAAATAATTGTTGGCATCAGCCTTAACCTCCACCTTGTTATATTGTTAGTTGTATCCACGCCACTCTACATCCTGGTATTTAGACCCTTACCTCCTCCTGCAGCTTGTCCACCGCACTGGTGATGTGCTCGTGGGTGCTCTGCTGATACTTCTGGGTCATGGTCTCCCTCAGGTTCTGCTTCAGCTCCTGATTCAGCTGCCACACACACACACACACATTATATTCACTAACAGCCAACGACATAGCAACACAGAAATGCTAGGCCAGCATGGAGCATGACCAAGTGATGAAATGAGTTGTAATTGTTGACTGAGGAGATTTATAGCACACAGGATTTTAAATTCCCTCCTGACGATACACGTCATGGACAGCAGGTTAACAACACAGGAGCAGAGGAGAGGCATAGAAAGTCTGGATGTTTCTTTTTTTGTTCTCGAGACCAGCGGCAGACACTCCAGGAGCGGGAGGTCTGGGGGGCTCAGTTTCTATGGCAACAAGCCAGCTGGGAAACCACTGTAAATCAAAGCATGAAGGAGATATCAAGGGAATGAATGATGAAGGGAGGAGGGGCGGAGAGAGATGAGAGACGGGAGGTGAAGACAAAGAGGAAGGTAGAGGACGAGGCGAGCATTTCATTTCACCTGTTGATAGTCTGGGAGACACTGCGGCAGTATCAAATGGCTCGGTAAGAAGAAACAGCCAGAGTGTGAGAGAACAGTTGTATGTGGCATTAACCATAAATACATGCTAACCTGAGTTTAAGCATCTATTAGGAGCCATCGCCCCAACACTGCAGCTGGCCTGGGAGTCTCAACAAAGTAACAGCAACATTGTGCACCACCTACAGGTAAGGAAGGTAATAGCATCTGCTGTGTTTAAAAAAATATATATATTTCTGGGCTACCAGTGCCTTTATTCGAGTGAAAGTGTTGAAAGGGGGAGACAGAGGGGATGGAACTCGGCAAATGGTCCAAACAAACTGAGCTATACAGCGGCCCAGCATCTGCTGATTTGACTTCTACAGCTGCAGAAATCTTCTATATGGCTGCTATTTGACCTCCTTCCTTTTTTAAACGTACAAATGTTTATATTACTATTCAAATCTGTTTACATGTGTTTCAGGTCACCAGAACTGTACTATAAAACAAGCATTTTTCTACACACACAAGTGGCTTGACTCTGTTAATCAAGTGTGTGATTAAGTTGATCTCAGGCCATACTGTACAAAGATAGAAGCAGTTTTAAAGAAAACTTACACATGAAGAACAGCTTCATAAAATAGATGTAATTGCAGATGTAGCTGTGATTGCCTTCAAGTGATGAAGTTCAGCAGCCATTACTTTCTTTTCCTAAAGGAAGGAAATGTGGTAACGCTTGCAAACTGCTGCTGCTGTCGCTTCCCTTTACTCTAGGTGAGGCTGTTTAACGAGTGTGGAGAACCTGCAGCTTCAATAAGTGTGTTTGGCGTCTTGCAATTCAAAGCAATTGTTAAGTTTTCACGACAAATTAAGAAATCAGGAACAGTTAACAAGAGAGGAAGAGCAGAGGGAGGAAAGAGAGTGGCTTTAAAGCATTTAGTAACACAGTAACAATCTTCTGAAGCTGGTAAAGGATCTTTAGGAAACAGCAGAGAGCTACTGAGAGACTGCTCGTGTTCAGGAGAGTTGTGTATTATGAATGAGGACGTTACAATGAAGGCAGTGCACCTCTAGACTGAGAAAAGTCCTGTTGCTGAGCTACAAGCCACCGGCCTTAAAGACAAGTCGAGGAGGGGGTGACGCTGCTGCAGAGCCGTGTCAGATTAATAATACACGAGAAAAATAACTTCTCATTTGCAACTACCTGCCCTGCAGTCAGTCATAACTCACACGCTGTCGGAGTTAGTCAACTACAGCACATGAGATGAGACAGTTATCACATATGTGCATTTTGTAGTGTTTAGCACTCTATTCAGTGTTAAACCTGTGTGAGTAGAGTTTAAAATGAGTTAGTTTTTGGGATGTAACGGTTCCATTTGAGTGTAAATCAATCCAAACACTAATAAAAAGCATCCAAATTATTCTGACACAGTATTCCTAGAGAACATTTGAATAAAGTTTGGTCAAGATGTTCCCAAAATAAAATAGTTCAGTGTGATATTTGTTGTTATAAATCCCCACACTGATTTATCATGTTGGTTTTGCGGTGGTTAAAATCACAGCAAAGGCCACGTGGGAATATAAACAGTCGTATTTGAAGTCTTCTGACTACGTGCTCAGATAAAAAGGCACGTAACAAGTGTCAAGCATGCTCTATTGATTTTCCAGTAAAGTACTTCACAGCTTTTACACACACATAGACATGTGATCATTTACTATGAGGACAGGCGGGTGTCACTGTCCACCCAAGAGGTTACAAAAATATCAGAAGTCAAAAGAAGTAACAATAGAAACAAACACAACTCAGCGAAGACTGTATTGTGACCATAGACTGTGTGACTTAAAATATATCCTAACATCTGTGTCCAATTTTAAATGACTTTTTTTGTCATTTGAAATTTGGGGTGATTTTATGGAATGGTTTGGAGCAGGAGTTAAAACAAAGCACAAGCATAATTCAGTTTAAAAGGATGTACAGAAACACTTTTTGGGAAAACTATGAGAATGAAGAGAGGTGATTGAAGATGAGAAATTATTGTATATGTATGTATAAATGTAAATGTAAGTAGGAATAACTTGCATAATGATTTAAAGGACAATCATTGATCAAGTAAGGGGTGGGAATTAATAAGCATTTGCTTCCTCCTACTCCCTTTCGGACAAATATGATTTATTATTATTATTAATATAAAGATTTTTTTTTTGTTGAATATATAAATATTATCATGAATGTGGATAAATACTGTATTTTAACAATACGGTATTCTGTTTTTCACATGTTTTATTTGTTATTTTTTTAATCTGTTCGAAATAAAGATTGAAATGAAATGAAAATCAATATCTAATCTTCCCATATCTGTCAGCTGCTGCTCCATCATTGCACACATACAACCTAACAAACAGATCAAATCCCCAGGTGCCTTGTAAAATATATTGGAAAGGACTTTTTTTGATGGTAAAGGGGGTTACCTGCTGGTAGTAGATATAAGCCAGGACGCCAGCCAGGATCTCCAACAGGAAGATACACAGCAGCAGGACGAAGTACTGAGGACAGAGGGAAGAAGAAGAAGAAGAAAACACAGTTAGTGGAGGGTAATGTGATGAGGCGACAGGTGGCTGAACAAAATCATGGGGGAGAGTTTAAAGTCTAACGCTGCTAGAAGCTGGTTTGAACAACATAGTGGCTAAAGTCTGGTCCAATGATATAAAGATGTTAATTAGAGATTGAAAAATGGGAAGGTCGATCCACTGCAGAGCAGGTTTGTGAAGACAGTCGATAAAAGACACAAAAATGAGAACAAACAATGCTCATGAATAATAAAAGTTAGACTGCCTGGGTTGTTTTTTTGCTGATGGCACAAATAAAAGAAAGGAGCTCCTGACAGCTAGAGAAAAATGTGTTCATTGTAGAAGTGAGCTTAAAAATGATTTATTACATTACATTTCATTTGATGCTTTTATCCAAAGAGGCTTACAATAAGAGCAAAAACCATAGAGGTTAAAACTCAGCACCAGAAGGAAAGTGCTGATATATTCACTTCAGCAAGTCATACCATTGTAAGTGCTAGTGAATTAGTTACAAGTCATAAGTTAACTCTTTCAAGTGCTTCTTTTTCTTTATTTTCGTCCAAGAATTTAATTCCCAAGGTACAATTAAAACAGATGCGTTTGCAGTTTGCGATGGAAGATATGCAGAGTTCCTGCTGTCCTGATGTCAACGGGGAGCTCATTCCACCATTCAGGGGCCAGGATAGCAAACAGAGCACATTTATAAAAGTACGATTTATTACAGGGCTGATGTTGAGGATTGATTAACTAAATGTGTGTTAATAGTATACAAATACTCAGAGTTGTTGCTCAGTGGTGGACCTCACACTGTATGCCCTTTTAGTGTTAATAGTATAATAATAACAATATAATAACATTGCTAACACAGATTTAAAAACATACATTTAGGCAACGCAAACTAAAGCTGCTCCGTGATATTTATGGTTGTATATGAACATCCAGCTCTTTCCCACAAAGTTGATTTATGAAAGCCTGAAACTGCAGAGCTCAAAGTTGTTGCTCGGAGGTGGATCTCACACGGTGTGCCCTTTGGAGAGGTCTGCTGTTCAGAGTTTATCTCCAGTGTCTGATTCGTGACCAGGCCCGTGAGAGCTAAGAGTGAAGGTCTGCAGGAGTGTCTGCAGCATTAAAGACAAGACGATCGTATCAGAGTAAAACCTTGACCTAAATTCCTCTGGCGCGCTGCTATCAGAGGAAGGAGATCAGGCCGGTAAAGTGGACCTGCGCTTTGATTCGATCGCTCGGCTGATTAGATCTCTCACAGGCTCTGAGGCTGAATGCTGAACACACTCTGAGACACACTTTGATGCCGTGTTGACATGGCAACAGAGAGAGATACTACATTCATACTAAGGGAAAGTTTAACTAAACTATTTAACTTGTGACAGTAAACATTATCTGTGAGGGTTTTATCTGATCAGTTGTACTGGTTCCTCCAAAAAGCAACTTAACTGATTAAACAAAACAACATGATTAACAAAGAGGGAGATTGTGGTTCATACTTACATTTTGATGTATCGATATAAACATATTCGTTTTTTATCTATAGTTATTCAGAATAACATGAATTTCTTGAGACAATTTCCATTACAACTTTATCACAACTATTTAATTGTAATATTATACAAATATTTATGTTCATCAGCAAATTTGTTATAACACGTTTACTTATATTTACGGCCTCAAAATCGCATTTTCTGTCAGGCATGAAATGTGTGTTTTAGAGATGAAGCAGGAGGACAGTCGACTATACTGCTATACTTTTCTTTTGAGCAATTTATTGATTTCAGTATGACTCAACGATTGTTTTTTTAATTTATTTATTTTCGCTATTTTTTCTCAGTACGAAAACTTCTCATCTGTACAGAAGATATTTTCACTTGTAGCCAAAAAACAACAACTGGGTGAGTGAGCCACTTTTTCTACCGTACTTGTATTTTTCGCCCACGCTTTCTCCTTCAGACACTGACGCTTGCTTCTCAGGCCGACATCACACGGGCAGTGGTGTTTACGGAGCGTGGCAGAGAAATGTTGTTGGCGGGTGGAGACTGAGGTGGCTGAGTTACAGACTGCAGTGACTCCAGAGGACTCCTTCTGATCTCAGGCACACACTCTCTCTGTGTCTCTCTCACACACACGCACACACACAGACTTATTATACGTCTGAGCTGCCATTCTGCTCCCAGGTGACTTAAGGCCACAGTGTAATTACTGCCAAACGCCTCTCAGCAGCTTCATATGTACAGAGTCTGCATTGGCTGCACTCTCCCTGGCTGAACTACAAAATGTCCCATGGTAAACAGACTCGTTTTGCTGAGGTTGTTAGAAGATATTTGAACAGTTTCTATGTCCGTCTTTCATACCACAGTTTTCCCTCCAACATCAAACTGCAGCACGATTACCAACACATCAGTATGCAGCTCTGTGTTTGTATTTCCGACTTCATCAGAATTGTACCGTCGCCTTTAAAAATTACTGAGCGAGTAGAAGTCACGCTGAAGGTGACTTTGATCCGACAGAAAACAGTTGGACACATTTTGGCTTTTGAGAGGAGTCATCCTGCGACCTTTTTATGAAGCACTCTTTGGCCACATGCAGCTCATCAAATGGAACTTTAAATTGACTTCAACTTAAAGCAGACTCCATTATCCAGCAGCTGGTGATTATCAAACTGACTTCAGCTGAGAGTCCGTCTGATGGGCAGTGATGCGTCTCTTCACTGCAACATGCTGCTCTTCATCACATGAGAGGAACGTGATCAATCTGTCCCCTGCTGGGCTGAATTAGAACTTCTCAACACTTGAAGTTACTAGATGATGGTTTCAATAATCACATCACTCTTCAAATACGACTCCTTTGCAGTTGGTCCTATCATTTTCTTTAAAGACTTGTGTACAGTGCCGTGAAAATGAATTTCCCCCTGGGGACAATACATCTAATCTAATCTAATGTTTCATAAAAGCGTATTCATTTCTTCAGACATTGATATAAAAAAAAAACACAATTATTTTTTTATGACAATGACAATTATTCTGCTGATCATTTATTTTTATATTGAACAAATTATTTTGTGTATTAAATAAATAAACAGTTGAAGAAATGGACGTCACAATTTCCTGATGTCAAAGGTGACATAGCTTGTTTTGGCCAAAGGAAACATTTCAAAAATATATAAAACATTTAAGCGTCCTTTTTCATACCATTTGCTAATTGATTAATTGCTTTGGCTCAATACAATACAACGAGATATAATGTTGGTGTGGTTTGCCTTTCCTGATGTTGGCTCAGTGAGATACTCTCTAGTAAATAAATAATCTTCCTCTTGAGCGCAGGCACCAGCCCAAAGATAAATGGGTCTTTCACTAATTCATAATAAAGGCATGAGATGTCAGCTGTGGTATAATGGATCCTTTCAATGTAATTAATACAATTATTTTAAGACGCTCTAACAAGTTAAAAGTACTACAACTCATGATCAGTTCATGAATTTGCTTTTTACACACACCTCTATTATTTTCACCATCTTTGGCAACCTCTTGCGACCCCCCTCAGCCCCTCAAGACAAGTTCATTCCTTCTCTTTGATTCATGGCTGCGATCTCAACTCTAAAAGATGCACCATGTATTCAAATCACACAGGCAAGTCGTGCACAGATTTCAAACTATAAACTATATGGATGCTTTAATGTCATTCTGCACACAGTACTGGACCCTCCTCATCTGTCTCTCCTGCCCTTGTGTTAGCCAAGGAGTCTGTCCTAAGAGATGAGCGATGATCATAACTAAGTCATAAGACTCATCAGACGGTCGAGCAGACGGACTGCGAGCTCAGAAACCTGACAAAGACGACTATGAAGAAGTGAATTCTATACTTTGAATCATTTTAAAAATAGAAAAATAGACAAAGGTTGCAATTAATTATCATGACTTTTCTTTTGGGACATTTACATCCTGCAAAAGTTTAATATTCTAGGAAAATTACCTAATGTACTTCATTTACATTAAGTTCTAAAATAGAACTGAAATGTTAAATCTATAGATTTTTTATACAAGTTATTCAATCCAGGACATTTTTATAAAGTTGAAAACCTAATATTGTCTGATTTAAGACGTTTGTTTGGACAAAGCAACAAATTGAAGACGTCACCATGGGCTCTACACAAATATGTTTCTGTCATAAGGTAGTCTTAAATATTAATCAGTTTATTGAATAAACAATATTCAGTCGCAGCTCTATTATTAATAAATTCAATTGTAACTTTATTTAATATGAATATTTGTTTCATGAAATGGCAGAGAAAGTGAAAAACAAATACAAAAATACAGACCTGACAGATGTTTGTTTTTATGTTATTCGGTTGATTTTTCTTATGCAACAAATGTCCGTGTGAATGAACAATAAAGTTTTGTATTATGTCTTGACAAACAGATAGTGTGAAAGACAGAAACGTTCTCCTCCTTTGCTCAGGTCATATCACTGTTCTGTTGCTTTTGTCTCCCCTGCAAAACAATGAAGCTGTGTGCTGCAGACACACACCACACCCCTCTTCCCGTGGGAAAGTTTCCTTCCTTTTCTCTTTGTCTGACTGACCTTGCTCATACTTTGTTTAGTACAATCATCACTAACAGCCTTACAAAGTCTGATATGGCCCTCCCTTTAATCTAAAGGTGAGTGCAGCTAGTTTATTCAGGCCTCACCGCTGCAGATATCCCGGTGATGTTATGGCTGGATCAGCTTTTCTTACAGGACAGACAATCCCAGCTGCTCTTATGTACTGTCAGCAGGTAGCAGGCCCTCTCCACATACAGGAAAACAATTACTCTACCCCCTCCCCTCTCACCTGCCCTTATCTTTGCCCTCTTTAACACTCACGATAGCATCTCTCCTTGCCGACAAGTTCATTCCTTCTCGGTGATGCATCGACCCAATCTAAGCTCTTCAGGATGCACCGAGGGTTTCAAAACTACACGCAGGACGAGGTGGTGAACACATCCCAGTCAGTGCTGGGTTATAAATCAAATCAACTGGACAGTGGGGACTTCATTTTGAGTGTACCGAGAGGTCTATAGACTTCTCAATTCCCCACACTGGCTGCCCTGGGTTCTTTCATATTGAAAATGGACAACAGAGACTTCCTTAAAATACCAAAATATAAAGCAATTTTGTCTTGTTTGTGATTGTCATATTAGCACCATTATTGACAAATGTGTTTATCGACTACTGTCTTTCAAGATTTCCACTCATCCAGAAGTAGGATATTAAGTTGTACGTCAAATGAAAGTGGTTTTCCAATGTCGCTTTTTAAAATACAAATAAAACACTTGAGGAAAGATAAGAAATGTTCCCAGGCCTTGATTGAATGATTGTTATTTTTTGTCGATTGTTTTCCTTTCCGTTCCAAACTTAAAGGTGGGGTAGGTAAGTTTGAGAAACCGGCTTGAGATACACTTTTTGTTATATTCCATGGAATGCTCTTAACATCCCGATAGCAATGAATATCTTAAGTGCTTTGACAAAAAATCCATAAAAAAATGTCATCTGTGGAAGCCGTAGTACTGTAAAAAGCACAACCAATCATTTTAGCCGGCCCGGCTAAAATAACTGGATGGCCTACCTGCCTGTCAGCCTTCCATCTGTGCACAAACTTATCTCGTGCCCTCATTGGTCATGTGCACGTTCGTGTGTGTTGGAGGAGGGGCTCTATAAGGAAGTGGCAGATTTTCTCCGGTTGTGTATTTTCAAATTCTAGCGATCTCGAGCCGGTTTCTAAAACTTACCTACCCCACCTTAAATAACAGCACACAATGAAAATATTTGTTCCCGTTTTTTTCTAAAAACATTTGGGTTGTTTTGGTGTGAGGCACAAAATTGTTGTATAATTTAAATGTAACTGATAATTAATAACCAAAAACTACAATACTTTTCTTGTTTGCGGTGTGAAAAGTAAAAATAAAAGTGCCATCACTTTGTTATCTAGCTTTCCCTGCCCTCTCCTTGCCCCTTCATTAATGATACATACAAATAGACTAGGTGGATACTGGCTTTATTTTTGAAGATATCTGGCTGTGCGATTTGCTGTAGTCTCTGGTGGAAAGTGGAAAATGCCAAAATGACACATGTTATTGAAAAGCTTATACAACACAAACACTTGAGCTGCGCCCACAGAGGTGTGCATGCATAAATTGACATGTGTGGATGAGAGCTGAGCTGTGTGTGAATAGTACAGTGTTTCTGCAAATGTATCGCCATGCTGGTACACACACACACACACACACACACACACACACACACACACACACACACACACACACACACACACACACACACACACACACACACACACACACCCACACACACACACACACACACACACACACACCACACACACACACCACACACACATCACACACACACACACACACACACACACACACACACACACACACACACACACACACACACACACACACAACACCACACACACACACCACACACACACACACACACACACACACACACACACACACACACACACACACACACACACACACACACACACACACACACACACACACACACACACACACACACACACACACACACACACACACACACACACTTTTTGTTTCGTCTGAACTGAACCCAGTCAGCCTGACACCTCGGGCGGTGCTGTGTGTGTGTGGCATCACAATGTCCTTCTAACAACCTATTATTTTTGGAATTCACATGCCAAGAACGAACTAACTAACGTCAATTGTTGTGCATCCTACTGAAGAATATGGAATTCTGACATTTTCTTTGCACAGAATCAGTCTGAATATTTCCAATATAATCAAGTCAACGCAGAACACACCAATACAACGATTGTTAGCCATCTGGCTGAAGACCAAACTGAAGGTTAGCCAGAGAACAAGTTACTGCTTCATGTGGAACACTGAAAGAAATGTGTGTGATACCAGGGTTAACTTTGTTTTACCCAGGCTGGTGGAGAGCAGCAAGGACAAAGTTTGAGCACAGCACATTCCCTGAAAAGAAATACATTTCCTCAGGCTATCCCACACCTGGATGGTACAAACGTTGACACTTTAAGGGATTTTCAGTTCTATTTATAAAAAGGTTTAATTTAGTATGCTGTCCTGGCCGTCCACTCACAAGGGCAAGTTCAAATATGTGTTATTAATAGGAATACAAGTCAACTCAACATGAACAAATATCAAAAACTGGTGTTATTCATTTATCTTATTATTCATAGTAGGTATGGCTGGCATTTTGGCAATATGTTTCAGCATTAGGGTTGATTACCCAATCCATGCATAACCAGATAAGGTTTCCTGTTGTCCCCATTTCCCCCCCAACGATTTAAAGGTCACCTATTATGCAAATTCCACTTTTTCCTGTCTTTTATTCATAAACATGTGTCCCCTTGGTGTTAAGAGATTCTGAAAGTTTCAGGAAAAAAGATTCTCTCTCTTTTTGTCCTGATCCATTTATATAAAAACCTGTCTGAAAATGAGCTGATCAGATATTGGCCACTTTGTGATGTCACAATGCTTTTTTTGGCTTGTGTAACCATTAGTCAATCACCAACCAAGGTAACACCCACCCACCTTATCATCTGAATCTCTTCCTAATGCACCATTGTTTTTTTTTTAACCAATCACTTGGCAGAGGGGCGTGGCCAGCAGCAGCTCATTAGCATTTAAAGCTACAGAATCAGCACTTCTGAAACAGGGCTGAAACAGAGGGGTTTAAGGGATGCTACAATGCATGATCTGTTTGGTATTTCAGCCAAACACTTCAGAGACATGTTTTGTATTTATCTGAGACCAATAATATATTTTTGAAAAACAGTATAGTAGTGGACCTTAAAAGATAATTTCATAAAACTACCATTGGATGTGATAACAAAGTTGTCAGCCAATGGGGAGTGGTGGATGTGATAGGAATGAATAATATATAAGGAAAAAATAAGCATATATATGTAGCAAAGTCCCACTCTTTGCTTTAATTGTGTCTAGATAGGAGAGTAGAAATGATTTCTGTTTCACACACTTCAATATATTTAAATGTGTGCGTTGTGCAGCTTCTATTATCTCCACCCTGACGTGATCTCTCACCACTCGCAGTAGCCTCCTCTGCTCCTTGAAGGTGGCACAGCAGCCCAGCACGCCTGTTACCATGACGATGGCTCCAGCCAGGACCAGTATGTAGGCGGAGGCAGCGTAGGTCTTGGAGGAGAGGAGGCTGATGTAGTCGCTCTTCTCAAGCAAGGTCCAAACACCCACCGCCATCACTACGCCGCCTGCCAGCTGGAAGAAGAAGAGCACATGATGAGAGTCCAGTCTGTGAGGGGCCCGGTTCAAGAGGAGCCAGAATCTGTTAAAAACCAGCACACAGTACAATGCAAAGAGACAAAACCTGAGTGGTACAAAGAGGTTTCTATTATCTATCACTCGAGCAGGATTCAATGTGACAAAGGAGGAGAAATGAATGACTGTCGATGGCTTAATGTGAAATGATAAAATGGAACAATTGCTTTTACAGGAGATAATGTGATCCTGAATCAGTTTATTCTGCATGGTAATTGTGCAGGAGCTGATAGCTGAAAAGCTTAGCTACAGCAGCAGCAGCAGTCAGTTGATAGAAATACTATCAATCTGCAACTATTATTTCAAAAAATCCCCTGTAATCGTCACAAACATGTACATGTATGTATGTATGCATTTAACCCATCCTAGTATTAAGGACAGTGAGCAGCTATTATACAGCACCTGGTTCCAGTCCACTCAGTTTTTGCCCGTTCTGGGACTTCCCCATAAGACCTACAGACTGAGCTACTGCCGTCGTCAATATTATGATGATGGGTTGGCAAAATTGCCAAACATGCTCTGTTTCCAGCTTCTCAAAGGAGAGGTTTTGCTACTTTTTTTGTCATATGGAAGTAATCTTAATAGGTTTGAGTATAAGGGGGGGGGGGGGGGGGGGGGGGGGGGGGGCTCCCTTTAAAATACTTGTATAGACTTAATTATTTATTTAGTCAGCAACTGGCTCGCTATAAATTAGGTTAATCGCAGTCGTATAATCTGATATTTTTCAGCAATTATTTTGTTGGGGAAGAAGCATTTTAAAAATACTTTGAGATGCAAGACAGAGAAATAACATAGATAAAGTCTGAGAGTTTATCAAGCACCAAGTAAATCCTTAAACCCTGAGGATAGACTAGGCAAGCATAAAAATCAATGCTTCCATCCAGCATATAACTGTCAGTCTGACATCTTCAGCATTATCTAAGAAAACTGTTTTGGGAAAATTAAATCAGTGAGATATCAACAGTGACGAGTCAGCAGATGGTACAGCGCTGCAACAGAAATCTGTCATTGCTCCAAAGCCGTAAATCTAACAGCTGTCCTAATTTAGATTTAATTTATACAAAGACAAGGCGACGGCTTCAGAGGCTAGACAGTGAGTGGGATTGTACGACACACCCAGAAACAGTGAGGCAGAGATAAACCAGGAAACACTCTTTACTTACCATTTTAATGTAGTAACCACAGTGGTTTACTGGTGAATGAGGAGGACCAGTTATGCTACAATACTGGTAATGGTCATTTTGTTTAGTGTTTTGTTTTAATGTTGTAGTGCATATTTATATGCAGTTGAACTATCTACACATGCACACTGACTTGATGTTGAAGTTTGTTTGTCATCCTGAGGGAAATTGTTGTGTAGCAGTTTCAGTAGGAGTGCAAATATAAAATAAAGTATATATTTTCTTAGAAATATTATCAATAAAGTGCAAACCAGTGGTTGTCAACGTTTTTCTCATGACCACTTGAGTCACAAGTTACATAAAATCAAAGTTCAGTTAAAACATGTGTCCGTTTAAGATGTTTGCCCTCGACTTAGGAAACAATAATGGGGGAATCTTGTCCAAGTGTCATCAAAAGCTGCACAAGAGAAAGGGTGACCTCTAGTGGCAGCCATAGGTAATCACTGGAACATTTAAAAAAGTCTAAAGGACCATGAAGTGAATGTTTGACGTTTACATGTATGTCAGGGTATATTACTATTCATGAAACCTACAGATGTATTTATGTTTCTGAGCAGGAAAACAGGGTGAAGACGATGGAATATAAGTTATTTGCAATTGTACTTGAAGCTGAGGGGCAACACTGGACTACATTGCTTTAGAATTCTAAAATCATGTTAAAAAAATATGCTTATGCATTTTATTTGTATGCATTTTATTCTAAAGTGTATTCAATATCAATGCAAGGCAGTGTGCTGCACTGCTCACTCAAATTTAACTCCTTGACCTTCAATACTACAAGATTATGTTCACAAACACAAGCAGATATGGATCTATGAACTTACTTTAGCAGTAGGTGCAGAACATATCTGAAACCTTTTTTAAACCTAAACCATGTACTTATTTGTCAATGTAAACTTTGAAAACAAGTCATGGATTAACAATAATCCATGAATGTAGTTTTGAATTATCAACAGGTCTAATGATATTACTTGGGGAAAAATATCCCTTTAGAAGTCGGCATGAGACAGAAGGACAAGCAAAACCTCATCTTGCTGAAACTTCTATAATGCCAACACTTTTAAAAAACAATTCTGTGTCATAAATCTAAATCCTACCAAACAACATAAATAGAAAACAGGGCATGCAACATCTAGGTAAACTGACCACTGCCAATCAACACAAATACTTTGAATAAAGCAAAGCAAAGCTGACTGATTGCTGTGATTCTTGTACCTCTGAGTATTTTGGAAAATGCTTTTTATAAACTAAATGACTAATCACAAACATCTATGAAAATAACTGCAATATCCTGAAATATATATTTGGTTGTCATTCTGGCATCTGTCACAGAAAAGGTACAGTGTGGTTAGTCTGCTAGTTTGAGAGAGATCTGATTCTTTGGCAGACAGATGATTATCACATATGGAAAAGATGTAACTGTGATTTCACACTGAGTACGTGAGAGCAAGAGAGTCACTTTCCCTTTGCTTCAGTGCTAAGATTTGAATCTTTTTCCACACAAAACATCCAAATTATGGAGTTATTTGTAGTGCTTTTCTCCTGGAACACCATGTTCTTGATACTGGAAAGTTTTGGGTGATTGGGCTCTGAATGAACCGTCTGTGTCCTCTGTAAAGTATGCAGCTTGGCTTTGATTCCATGAACTGGAAAAGCAGCAGGCATTCATCTGCCGCCTGAATAAAAAGGCTCTGTTGAAGAGTTTTATCTGCTATGTATTCCAGATATCATAGAGGTAAATGGAACATCTGGTTTATTACCATTTGGGTTACATTTGTTTAATTTTGTCATTTTTGATAAAATAATTAGTTAAGTGATGCTGACATCTGGAGATCTGAGGCCTGTACTACGAAGCCGGATTTTCCTAACCTGGATATGTTTGAGTTAGCCGGTTGGCCCAATCCAAAACATACGCGCTCTCGCTAAGCTGTACTACGACGCTGGTTATCAAGTGGATCGCTCAAGCCAGCCGTGTCCCATCTAGTTAGGTGCGCGTTCACATGAAAGGGGTGGTATTTGGAGCATTCGACCAATCTCAAACATGGACAAGCGTACTGACAGCGCAGCGTCATACTTCCTGAATGAAAAGTGAACTTTAATATTAGTCAAATATGAAGAAGTTAAACTTTAAACATCCATGACTTAAACACTTTATCCAGGATAAAAGCCACAAAGCTGCACCTGCAAGGTGAATACAGCTGGTAAAATAAAAAGCGTTTGAATGCGTTCATTAACCAGTTAAACCCCACGGCCCCGCGGGCGGGGGCAAAACGCAACATCTTGCAAGAAACAGCATCTGAGGGCTTCTTAATATTTAACAAACTATGAATGTGTCATACCCACTTAACGGGAAGAAACTCAGCTATCAGACAATATTAATCGTTTTTAGCTAAACGAAACAAAAGGGTAATAACAAAGGCTCTGAATTAGCCCTGAGCGAAAAAATGCTAACGCACTTAGCACAGAACTCAAGGTAAAATACCCTTATTACTTATCGGATCTGCACAAAAAAGATATCGATTAGCAAGCTGAGATTCCACAGATTCCAGACATATAAGTATCATCAGAACTCGCGGCCAAACTACAAGAAACAACAACAAAGTAATGTGCTTTACGGAGCCAAAATGGCTAAAAACGTCTTACCTTAGCTGTTGTTCTGATCAAAAGTTGTGTTCAATGGCATTAAAACGAGAAAAACGCTGCTGAAGGTTAATCCATCATCATATTTATGGCAATAAACGTAGTTTTCTATAGAGTGTAACAGCTTTCAGTTTGGGCAAACTGCGTGCGCATCACTCTCAATCCTCATTGGTAATGTTTAGATGGATTTAGGAACTCCCCCTCGATTCTATTGGCTCTAACGGTTCAAAAGAGGTGTCAATCACCAAAATCGATCAATGGGTTTGTTGGAGTCTTGATGTCTGTTAATTTATTCCGGCAATTACTCAGACTTATACTAATTGACCTAACAGAAGCTATTGAGTCTATGTAAGTTGACTGCCAGGCTCGGATCCACCTGGATCAGCAAGGTCTCACCTCTACTAACTCCTGAAGAACCAGGTTCAATTAACTGCTGTTTCAATTCAGACGACGCACTAAATGCTGTGGTCTTTTTCTAATAAAAAACCTAAATTCACAGTTTTACATTTCTTACATTACATTCTAAATTCAACTGGCCCACTTCAGTTATGACATTACATTCTAACTTCAACTGGCCCACCTCAGTTGTGACATTTACATTCTAACCTCAACTGGCCTACTTCAGTTGTGACATTACATTCTAACTTCAACTGGCCCACCTCAGTTGTGACATTTACATTCTAACCTCAACTGGCCTACTTCAGTTGTGACATTTAAATTCTAACTTCAACTGGCCCACTTCAGTTGAGACATTTAAATTCTAAACTCAACTGGCCCACTTCAGTTGAGACATTTAAATTCTAAACTCAACTGGCCTACTTCAGTTGTGACATTTACATTCTAACTTCAACTGGCCCACTTCAGTTGAGACATTTAAATTCTAAACTCAACTGGCCCACTTCAGTTGTGACATTTAAATTCTAACTTCAACTGGCCCACTTCAGTTGTGACATTTACATTCTAACTTCAACTGGCCCACTTCAGTTGAGACATTTAAATTCTAAACTCAACTGGCCCACTTCAGTTGTGACATTTAAATTCTAACTTCAACTGGCCCACTTCAGTTGTGACATTTACATTCTAACTTCAACTGGCCCACTTCAGTTGAGACATTTAAATTCTAAACTCAACTGGCCCACTTCAGTTGTGACATTTAAATTCTAACTTCAACTGGCCCACTTCAGTTGTGATGTTTAAATTCTAACCTCAACTGGCCCACTTCAGTTGTGACATTTAAATTCTAACTTCAACTGGCCCACTTCAGTTGTGACATTTAAATTCTAACTTCAACTGGCCCACTTCAGTTGTGACATTTAAATTCTAACCTCAACTGGCCCACTTCAGTTGTGACATTTAAATTCTAACTTCAACTGGCCCACTTCAGTTGTGACATTTAAATTGTACCTTTTTAAATTCTTCCGACAGAATTTAGAGGAATATCCTAATAAATTGTCGGTGATAAAAAACACATTAAAACTTTCATTCAACAATACATTCAAAATCAAAGTCAATTTCAGAGAACTTACCAAGGAAAACCCCCATTGTTGGTTATACAAGAATATATTTGATTATATTATCTTTCGTTTTAATTATTCAACTTAATATGGAGACCTCAACAGGTTCCAGATATATGGCAAATATACCCAAATGACCCCATGGTGGGTTTTGTTTTTTCTAAACCTCTCTAAAAAAGGTAAAGTTTCACTTGTTTTGCATCAATCTTGATACAGGGTACTAATTAAATGTTTTAGTTTGGATTCCTAAAGCTTTTAGTCTACTATCCCATCATTCAAGGGTGGTTTTCACTATAAGTAATGGGGTTTTTTTGGACGGAAACTACAATTTACAGTTTTTTACTATGTTCAATCTGAATTTACTTTAAAAATAAAAACATCTATATTGATTCTGACTTTTCTACATCCAACTCACAAGTGTATCATTGCTTTGAGAAAAAAAGATTATTAAGTTACCCCTTTTAGAAGTGAAGATATAGTCATTTGTTCTGGGCATGTTATTTTCAAGCCTGAAACCTGAAAAACATGCTTGGGGCTTAACAGGTTAACAGGTTTATGAAATCACTGCCCCGTCCAAGACACGAGTGGATCTGACTTTAATTACATTTCACTCGAGTGTTTCGTCAACTTAATGTGTTGCTTAAAATAATACTTCTGCATACAGTATGTGACACTGTGAGTGTTGCACGGCCAGATACGGCTCAAGAAGCTGACTCAGATAAGGAAATATATGATACATTATGATGTGATATGATATGAATGATAATGGGACACATCGACGTCTGCACTCGCAGTGCCACGGACTGTACTTAATGTTACTCTGATCCGGTTACTTATGTCGTGGCAGATATTTAATTAAGCTTTCTTAACGCTAATGTTATAATAGTCAGATTGCTCTGAAGATGGGAGGGGATATTCTATTAATTTTCACGTTCACACAGTCAGTTGATTTTTGCCGGCCGTCTTTCCTGCAACGGCAGTTTTTCTGTATTTCCTCTATCCTGTAATATGACTTGATAGCTTTAAACTCCGCACACGGAGCTCTGATTGGTCAGCAGGCGGTGCTTTCACTGAGTTGATCTCTTAGCCTGCAACCTAACCTCCTCCCGAGGAGGTTAGCCGCTCAGCATAAGTTACCATGGAGATCTAGCCCGCTAAAAAGAGAACCAGCATCGTAGGACCGGAAAGCCAGAGTTTTCCCTGAAGTCAGCCGGCTAAGCGAAAATCCAGCTTCGTAGTACAGGCCTCAGGTCTGTAAACTGTGCAAATAATAGACAGTTTCGTAAACACTTTTTTTTATTTTTCTCCCTTTGTTTGCTCTTCCAAACACAGTACATTTGAGCAGCCTATGCTTTGTTTAAAACCTGATTGTCTGACTGCTTGTGTTTCTTGCCCTCCCCACCCAACTCCCTTTTAGCTTCGCTGTGTTTCAAGGTCACAGCATTTATCTTTGTTATTATAATCCAAATAAAACAATGGAGAAAACAACAACAAAAAAGGGATCGCATGAAAAGTTACATGTCCTGATCGTAAGTGAATATCGGAAAGCATGAATGTGCTTTAGGAGCACTTTAGACCAGCATAAGCACTTTGATAATTAAACTCCCTGTGCAGGCTCAACTAGGCCAGAATGAAACGTACCCAAAAGAGAAAGTTGAAGGCAAACAGGAGGTATTTCAGGCAGATGGTTCCACATGTTTCCTTCTTCTCCTCATAGACCCCCATGCTGCAAAAGAAAGCAGATTTCAGATCAGTTATGACAATAACACACAGAAAGAGTTGGTTTTATTCAATACATTTCATACTACTGTACCCTCAGTTTGATGTCATGTGACCATGAACCAAATTGTGAGCTCTCGCCCAAAGTATTGTGTTGATAAAGATGATGGAGACCAAAATGACTCTTCTGGTGACTGCGTCCTTTTTGGTGCAGCATATTAAAAAAGCAAGCATTAGTTTTAATTTTGATTACCAGTGCCAATGTGCCAATGTGCACAAAGTTTGGAGCCAGTACGATAAGTAAAGAACAGTGAAAGTCAGACCGAGGCTTTGCTTTTAGAACTCGTCAGCTTTTGGAACTCTTTATACAATTTCCCCCAAAAAAACATTTGATATATAGGCCTTATTTAAAAAGTGTAAACACTACTGATTTAAGAGATAAAAGATTAGGTTTAAAAAGGTTGCTATTCTGTTTAAGGTCATGAATTCAGGAATATCAGAATGTGTTTATTAAGCATTATTCTGCGAAAAAGTTCCCTATACAATGAATATGCACTTTGTTAAAGTACAATAGGGGCTTGTAGTTGGCATAGAGGACACATAATTATATTACAGCTTGAAATAAAGCCAACTTTCGTTTTTATGGTGAGGTGCTGTTAACAAATGAGAAGTTACAAGGCGGATGCAGAACATGGGGGAGTGAGTAAGATCAGCAGTGTAGGCAGAATCAGTGAGCTGAGTTATTACATGTGTATGCAGAGAGATCCATGACTAAGCACTGAGTAGGAGCTGAGAGTCGGCCAAAAGGCTGGAAATTAGAAACCACCCTCTTCCCTGAAGCATGGTACCAACAACAAACACTTTCCAGAAGCTAAACCTTCTTCTTTTAACAGAATTTACATATTTTTAGTATGGTGTTTTATCGACTAAGTGAATTAAATGGAAATATTGCACTTCCATGGTTAAAAAATGTCCCTTTTTAACAAGAAATTAAACAGATTGAAGCGTATCCAATCAATGTCTTGTATTGTAACCACAGAAAATGACACTGTAGTAAAATTTGACAGGTTTTCCTCAATGCCAAACATGATCCTATAGGTTTGAAGTTAGATTTATAGAATAAGATTTATAGATCACATCACAGAGCAACACTTGTCTTCATGTAATCTTTGTTCTCCCAAGTCTCACATCCATTTTTTTTGCCCCACAATTTTCTTAGCTTACTTTTCTGTCAAGCCCAGACCTGCCCTCTTCTGACTGCCTGTAATCAAACTCTCTTTCCCCTCCTTACCCTCCGCCTGCCCCCCCCCCCACACCCGCACCTACTACTGTCAATACAGATGAGTGCACTGAGTGTGTCTGGACTCTGTCTGGTGACCATCTGTTAGTGTTATCGTGGGACCACTTAGTGGGACCTTGTTAATTAAATTCAAACAAGACTCAAATGACAACTCCTCATTTTACGGTTTAGAGACGGAGAGGAAACAGCTGAGTCAAGACAGCAACCAAGAACTTTCTGCAAGGAGGGTTAAGCATAAAAAAGAACAGTTGAGTTTCACAATGATGCATCTTATTAAAAGCTTTAGCTAATTTTAGGATGTGATATTCTTACTCGAGTGCACATTAAACAAGACTGTTGCTTGCACTCAGCATAAATTGCATTAAGTAGGATAATGGCTGTCTCGTCTACTCTAAGAGATTACAGTGGTGAAATACTTGGAGCAGGTCCAGGTATCTTTTTTCATCTGTATAAGCAAAAATAAACTGTGATGGACATTTTAGATGACTTCTACCATCTTATAGACAAACCACTAAAATAACCCACAGAGTAGACACACATTTGAAGTTTCTCCAAAGTAAGGACCCTCATATGGATACTTTGAATATCTTAAAACAACTGGAAAATACCACTGTTTGACTTTGACCAATAATTAAATGCAATTTTTCCACTCAAGTCTAGGGTGGCAGGTGTAGTACTAAGTCTACTGGGATCTTCTTTTGGTCTAATTATTACAATTCTAAAGAAACAATTCAAAACTCCAACTTATTTGGTAGACAAAGATCTAAATAAAATATATTTTCTGTGTGAAAAACATACTCTGCTTACGTGATGTTTTACAATACTACAGGAAACAGTATTTTTAGTCCAGATTTAAAAAACCAAATAGTCTGATTTGGAAGTAGGTAGATGTGTGTAACAAGATTGAAGTTATCATTTAATATGTCTTGACAAACTAATGTTGAAAACCAAGTTTGGATTTATATAACTCATTTATGAATCCACATTAATAATAATACATGTGACGTTAATAAACCAACTGATAAAAAAACACACAGTTGTTTGAATAGCTGCTATGTAAAATGTAAGGTATAATATATTTTTTGTGTTATTAGCAGGTATATAGAGGTGGAAAAGGTATTCAGATCTTGTAGAAGTAAAAGTAGAAGTATCAAAGTGTAGGAAATACTCTGTTAAAAGTAAACGTCCTGAAATCAAAATGTTACTCAAGTGAAAGTACAAAGTATTAGCAGCAAAATAAACCTAAAGTAGGCTACCAATAGTAAAAGTACTCATTATGCTAATTTAATAATAATAAATAGTATATGTTTTGATCACAATTAGTGATGTATTAAAGTGTTATCAAAGCTGGCAAATGTGTAGCTAATTTCAATGACTTTGTATGCTGCAGGGTAGCTTGTGAATTTTACTCCAGGTGTAACTAAAGTCTAATTTTAGTGTTGATTATATTTCACACCATTAATCCAAATCTGTTAAGTAATTTAAGGTAATAAATAAACATAGTGGAGTAAAAATACACTATTTACCTCTGACTTGTAGGGTAGAAGTACAAAATAGCAAAACATTGAAATACAGAAGTAAAGTACAAGTATTTGAAAATTGTTCTTGAGTAGAGTACTTGAGTAAATGTTCTTATTACTTTACATTATTGCAGGTATATTACCTAGCTAGCTCGGACTACAACGAAAAGTGAGCTAACTGAACATCATTACAACCCGTCCTGACAACGGCTCAGCAGTTAAACCTCTGGAAAGTCCTATGGTTTGTGTAAAAGGTTTGGGTTCACAATAACCATGTATAAACCTTGTTTTGGTACCACAGGGTAAGCTCTATTATGTATAAGTGTACAGGACCGCACACTGACATAAAAACAGAGTTTTGTAGGTTTCCTCGATGATTTTCAGATGACGCTACAGCGCATCTCTGCCGGTGTGAGCTAACGCTAAAGTTATACGACTCACCGCTGCTATGAGGGAAAACACATGTGTTATCAACACGACCTACTTTCAAAAGAAACCAACAACACGTTGAACACATGTCTGATAACGTAGCTTTGAAATACAGCTGTAAGATGTCTTAACTACATGGTAAAATCACGGTAATGCTTCATGTCGGCTCAATGCGACACCGCAGTGTGGAGCTAACCACTATCAGGGCACTTCCTGCTTTCACTTACCTGCCGTTTCTGTGATCTTCCGTAGAATAAAGCGATTAAATGTTTAGGAAATATTCCTAAAGGTCTTCTGTTTCCACTCCACTTTTTACTCTGATAAAGGTCTCTCGGATAGCCGTGTGTATCTGGAGGCCAGATAAATCACAGTGAGCTCAAGGACTGCCTTCTGACTCCACCCCGGGCTACCTTGCGTGTTTCTGGGTGTGTTTTCTGTCCCGGGGCAATGCTTCTGTGATGCAAACAGATACAGAGGAGGAAGCAGGGGAAATGAAAGAAAAATCACGATTCAAAGAAAGTATATGAGAAAAATCATGATTCAAGGAAAGTATATGTATTTTAATAATGATCAAACTACAAGAATACTGATGAAGGGTTTTTCTACCAATTATCAATACAGTATACTATCAGCATTACAGCAATTGCACATCTTCTACAACCCCTAGAGAGCTCGGCTATTTTTGAAAGGATAAAGGAAGAAAATAAATAATATCTGCTTCATCTTGTAAAGATGTTGATGAAGTAGGCATATGGTTTGTATAAAGTTAAATATTTGGATAAAAAAAGCTTTTAACATTGTCCTCCACTACTTTCCCTACGTCTTCACACATGGCTCTGGTGGCACATATGATGGAGTGTCATGTAGTAAGAAGACATAAGCTTTTCAGAGGAGCTCCTTCATTTTGTATCATAAAAACTATTAGAATTTACATGTAATTACCTAAAACAACTGACACTGCATTCCCATTAAAGAAAGTCAATTAAAGAAAAAGTCCAAATTTGTGATGTTTGATATTGGCCTACATAAATAAAGAGTAAATTCACTGTAAAAATACAAACTAGACCACTTTTCTGCCCAGGTAGATGCAGTAGATTGTTGTGTGTGTTTGTAGTAATTCACATTCACCACTAGATGACAGTGGTTTATTTTGGCTCGCCTCCAGATAACCTTCCAAGAAGAATTACCGTAATCTTTAATGGAAATGTGACTGAAGAAGCCATTGAAGAATCTCAGGAAACTTTTATCTTCAACTACGCCATGTTTTTCCACAGAGAGAACAGTTTTCTATTGAACAAAACAAATAAAAATTGATTTTACATCTTTATTTTTGGCATTGAAATTCATTTTTGTTGTTGTTAGAAAAGTGAAAAATCCTCGTATCATTTCAGGTTAACAGGAGTAGGCACTATTTCGGTTGGCATATTGAAAAAAAGGTAATAAACAAAATAATTCAATACATACGAAAGTGAGAAATTCAGATGTCATCCACAAACCTTGTGCCTGTCTATTAGAGAGGTGGGGGGATAAACCCTGTTACTAAGAAGGACGTAAGCTTTCAATCTGTGCTGCACACTTGAGTTGTTTGGACAGATACTACTCCAGCCTCTGATATCAATCTTCATTTACAGGTACTCACGCTTTGTCATTTTGGCAGCCATTTGATTAGTAGTAATAGATCATTTAAAACAGTGTATTATAGAGGATTTATCTCGTCTGTGTAAAGAAACAAGCTGTTAAAGAATTTCCTAGGAAGATTACATGGTACTAAGAGCTAGTAGGCTAGATGAAGGGATAGGAGAACAACAAGGCTTTTTGAATTAAACCAGTGTTATTTTCAAAGGAAAGCTAACTTTCTGAAATGTTTTGAAGGGCATTTTATAAGAAAAGGGAGAAGAAATGTTTCTTCTTTACTGGAACACCTTAAAGGAGATTCTGCACCTTGAAATGTTTGTTTAGTAATATTTTCTTTTGGCTAACATCACTGGTTCTCCAGTTTCTTTGCCAAGGAGCTAGACGTTATGCTAACCAACAATCTCAGTCTTTAAAGAATAAATAGTCTTCTGGTAGGCCATACACTGTTTAAAAGGGGTCTTGACCTTTGTCACACCTACCAAGTTATAAATAGATACATACGGGATACATAATAGGATCCACCTAGTGACAGGCGGAGTGAAGAGGCCATGTTGGATAGTGATCCTGCTCACAAGTGGATCCAAGGCAATGATGAACCTGATTTACTTACCCAGTGGAGACAAAAGTTGTGAAAGGAAGACCTCAGGATTTGTTTGATAATTTTCTGTAACTTTGGGATGTTATTACATATCACCAGAAAAAATGCTCCTTTGAGAGAGAAGATGCCTTTCTACTCGACGGTAAACTGCTATAAATGTCCTGGTGTAGGGTTAGCTTTAATTTAATTTAACTTGTGTTGGATCTGGAGGTTTCAGTACCAGCTGTATATGGATAACTGCATAAAGTTATATTCATTTATACAGTATATTCTTGCTGTGCTTAAAGGTTTGGTTCAAATTCTATAACAATCAGTTGCTTTCCTCTTTTGGCATCTAGCTGTGCAAATAGTTTGGGTTTTCTTTGTTCGGATTTTAAGATATCAGACAAGTCAAAACAATAAGTGTGAATGAAGTTTCTTTTTATATATTTTAGTAGAAAAGTAGTTCCAACAAAACCTAAGAGAGAGGCAGGAATCTCAGAGTATGAACCCATACTCTATCAACATGCAAGATGCCACTAGAGGTTAGCAGATGTATTTTGTATAGGTGAACTGACTCTAAATGTATCAAGCAGGCCAGTCCTAATCATTTGGCAGGCACAGTTTCTCCTTGATTGGTAATGTAGTCTGCTTGTATTGACACTGTGTGAATGTATTCTTCCAACATGTCCGCCCATGTCTTAGAGCAGACCAGGTTACTCATACTACAGTCACTGATGCACAGGGTCACTCCCTTACCCAAGTAATTTACCATGTGAGGGTTTATTTCCTCCAGTTCTTCTTAATCATTTCACAGGAGGACCATTATGGGATACTTCTCAGATCTTTAAGAATCAACACTAGGCAGCTAAATGGATTCATTTTACAATCTATGTTCTGTGTTTGGTTAAGTTATAGAACATGTCTCTCCTCTGAGTGCACATACATTTACAACCAAATGAGAGTTGCAATGTACAGTGAGTTGTTCAGACTACTAACATGTCTCTCATGTTTCTTTCCTCAGAATGTCTGATGGATTTATTTGGTTCCTGATGGTCACTATACATGTGATATGAGGGTGAAAGGAAACCTGGATGCTTTTATCACCCCCTGGATTGAACTGCGCTACTACATCCGTTTATGTTCGAGCAGTAAAACTCAACACCTATGACATGTTGACACCTGTGATTTCCCATGGGCTCATCCCAAAATGCGTCCCTTTTTCTTATTTTAAAAGGTTTTCCCAGAGTAAACATGACTTATTTTAACATCAGAAAATGGAGCCTTGATAGTGTATCATTCAAACTTCAGAGTGGAGTTATTTGAAGGCCTCGAAAAGTGGATTGATGTTTCTATGTAGCGAGTGTGTGAGTGCAGTGCAGCCTTGGATCCATCGTGGAACCACCACAGTCCCCCCGGGCACACAGCCTTCGGGCCGGAAGCGCTCAAAACCAAAAACTACTCTCTGGTGTTGCTGATCCAGCTCAGCCTGCTCTCCTTCGACCTCTTCGTCAACTCCTCCAGCGAGCTACTGAGAACTGAACCCGCCACCATGCTGGTACTCTTCATGTAAGCCAGAATGAAATCCTGTTTTTCAAACCATATCCCAGGGGGAAATCTAGAAATACTACGCTTTGGTTCTTTCACTGAGTCATATGGAAATGATTTTAAAAACAGCACTATACTATGACAGTAAACTTGGAAATCTTTCTGATCCTGTCACTCATTTTCTCCTCTTTCCTTGCATGCTTTTCTCTCGACAGAATCCAGGACATATCTATCCTGTTCAACCTGATCATCATTCTGCTGATGCTGTTTAACACCTACGTGTTCCAGGTCGGCCTGGTGGCTGTATTACTGGAGCGCTTTAGAGCTGTGCTAATGCTCTCTGCTCTCTATCTGACCTTCAGTATCATACTCCACTCCTGGCTCATGGTACGTGCTGTACTTGCACAAATAGGCAGAGATATATTATATGAAATGTATTATGAATGTTCGTTTTTTCATTACTGTATGAACCAAATAGTCTCTGCATTTTTTTTAATTGATGTATTTATGTCCAACTCATAAAAAGGCTGAAATGATATTGCTTAAAGAGAAACTTCTTAAGGGGGCAAAACCCACATACTTCATAAACTAATTAAACTATAAATAATGGAATAACTACGTAAGAAAGGGAATTATTTTCCATCTCTTCTTGGGGAGAAAAATATGTTTCTGAATCCCTCTAACAGCCCAACTCGCCAAGTTTCTCCCATCAGTCTTTTTTTAATGAGTTCATCTAAATAAACAGTGTTTTGCCTCCTTTTAAAAAGAAACATTAAAACAGACATTAAAATAACCATTAAATATTTCTGTATATTCTTTCCAGAACCTGCGTTGGCTGAATACCAACAGATTTGTTTGGACAGACGGCCTTCAGGTGCTGTTTCTGGTCCAAAGAGCTGGTAAGATTACATTTTCATTTGTTGTCTATAACGCCAAACAGATGCATTTATTTTGAACGCTTAATACTGTCCTTAGAGCTTTGTTAAGGATGTCAAAAATCTGCTTCTTTTAGAAGAAAGGAGCTACTGTCTATCACCTCATATTTCTTTAGATTGACATTTAGTTGTATTTTCTCAATTTAAATAAAACAAAGGAAGCTATCAAGGCAGTACTATTACAATAAATACAGTGTTCAGATTTGAGACATGCTTGGTTTTCAGAAGTAAGAAGAGATTAATGAGTGAGAGATTGCTTGTCAGAGTAGAGCCTCTGGGCTTTTCTCCCAGCTGGATATAAGAAGGAGCTGAATTTCACTCTCAGAGCAGAATTATTTAGAGTGAATGCTTTTAGATAAAACATAATTTGAAGTATTAAGTAAACCAAACCATCATTCCCCTCACTACTCACAAGTAACATTAAGTCACATTATTACTAAGTTTATATGCTCTATAAAGAAATCTCCCAACGTGCTCCAGGCAGAGATCTAACATCATCATGCGGGTGTAATTGTCATACACGTATAAGCTCATAAGTGGATAATTGGATTTATTTTCTAGGTATTGTTATTAAGTATTAGAAAAGACTGTATCCATGTTTTTTTGTCTCTGTTTTGTCTGAGACCCACCCAGCTGTTTGTGCATCACTGCTGAATCACAAAGATCCCAAAGTCTCTCATCATGAGCTTTCCTTCAGACACTGTAAACTCTGCTGGGCTGAGTTGTAAATGCTGGTGGGATTTTCACATTTCTCTGCGTCTACAATCACATTTGAGGTTATAAGTGCCTTTAATCATTGTTCAAAGTCTACAACAGGAGCCACACACACTTGGGAATGGCTGATCAATTATGCAAACTCAAAAGCACCATTGAAATATGTATTTACACAACTGAACGTTTTTATGCAGTTGGGTTTTCATTTGGATGTTAAGTCATAATAATGATGTTGATGCAGATTTGTTTAAAACAATAACTGAAGTGATTCTCACGTTTTTGCAAGTTGATTCTCATGACAATATTTAAAGTTGATGCAGCGTTTGTTATAAGACAAGAGTTTACAGTAATGTAATTAATGTGTGATTTGTTGTAATTTAGTTAAAAAGACAAAACATTAGAGTGAATATTGAAATAGAACAACTATACTGGCGTATTGGAAATTCAACTGTACTTTATTTGTTTTTTATTTACTGTTTTGGATGTGTTTAGTTGCTTAGTTGAGCATTGGATTAGTAATGCCTTCAGGAATTAAATATTTCTGAAGGCAGACATGTCAGCACCTGTAATTAACTAACCCCTAAGTCATCGCTGTTTATCAACAATTATTTTAATCCTCTCAGCCATTTCACTGCTCCGGATTTTTGACAGTCTGAGTCAGAGCTCCATGAAATTGAGTGTATTTTTTGTTGTTGGTGTTTTTGAACGATCATTTCTCCTCACATGTTTGTTCTTTTCACAGCTTCAGTGTTGTATTACTATTTCTACAAGAGAACCACTGAGTATCTGGGCGACCCTCGCCTCTATGAGGATTCACCGTGGCTGCGGGAACTGTTCTCTCGGGTTAGACAGTGATCTCACCGTAAAAAGATATTGGACGTAAAGATGCTTCAATAAAATACAATTTGTTTTAAAAGCATCTGAAATCCATTTACAATCAAAACACAACATTACATTTCCAAAGTTTAAATAACAAATACATTCCGGCCTAAATTCCTTTTTTGAACACATGCTTTTTAAGTCAATTCTACAGAAATTGTAGTCAAAATATATATTCCACTTTACATCTTCTTCCAGTGCAGGAAGGATTGTGCCAAAATCTGGTAAGACATTTCCGAACAACAATAAAAACAGCGTCTTATCAGGCTTTATTTGCTGTTCAGTTTGTAGAAATGCTATGGAAAAAGTGAGATGATTAAAAAATAATCTCTTGATAGCAGTCACCAGATGCCCTTGTTTTTGTTTTATGTTAATATGTACTTTCTTTTTAAAAAGAATATATTGACCAAATTGAAGTTTGTTTTATATACCTTTCAGACTTCTGTGTTGCTTGAGTTTATTTTTAATGAGGGTATTGGACTTGGTTGAACTTTATTATGGCCGGTTACTAATCTGCACTCTCTGTAAGATCTTTGACTATCATGTGCATCTGAGCTGGCTGCATTTCATCTTCAAAGGACGTGTAAAATACAATAAAAATGTTTTCTAAAATGTACTTGGTCATGTGATTTATGAGCTTGTTCCGAAGCATGACTGCAGATGAGAGAAGCGGAGCTGATCCTTCAGCTCACTGAGCTCTTTGAGCAGCGACTCCTTCTGCAGGTGGAACTGCAAACCAAGTCATGAGAAACGGTTTTTGTTATACTGTATGGGTGTTACTTTTTGTGAATTAAAAAGAGATATGACTTTCATAAAACATGTGATGGATATTTTTGTCAAATAAAAAAACATGGTGACAATGGCCTAGGTTTGTTTGTGTAATAACTTAACAAAAGTAACTAATCTATTTAAAAATATTTTCCTTGAGTTAAAAAAAAATAATCAAATGGTGCAGGAAGGACATATTTTCCTGACTCAGGGAGAAATCTAAAAGCTTTTTGTGTGCTGAGTTTTATTGTGCTAGTTTTAATTTGAATATATATTTTGAAGCAATATTGATAACTACCAATAAAAACAAAACAGTCCTAGCCCTACTTCTGAATTTAAAAATAAAAACACACTCACCCGTGTTGCATACTTATAAAACTGCTCTGCCTCCTCTTGTCTGCCAGACTGAAAATATAAAGTTAATTCCATGGTTAGTTCAGGTCCCTGCAGCCTGCCTTGAAAAATGCAGTTGCATGCAGGCATTAAAATGTGAGTGTGTGCTGAACTGTGTCCCCCGTCACAGCCTGAAGAGAAATAGGTCACACACTGTAGATGTATCCTTTGTTGGACCGTAAGCTGAACCCCTTCTCAAATGAAATCCAGCCTCACTGAACAATATGATAATGTCATGTGTGATTTGTGAACAAAGGATCATGCTAAGGCTAAAGGATTCAAAAGGTGTGCCCCCCATTTGTTTGAGTTAAGGCTATACTGTATTTCTTGGTGTCATACCATTGTATGTAGGAATGTAGACATAAAGGGAGGCAGAGCTTGAAATGGTACAGGGCCAGTGAGAGTCCCCATCACTCACCTTGAGGCAGATCAGAGACAGGTAAGCCCACACTTCTGCGTTCTGAGTGTTCAGATGGTTGGCCTCGGTCAACGCTTCCTCAGCTACACACAGCTCCTCCAGCTGCACACACAAACACAACTAAGGATAACTTCCTCACAAAGTAAAAAAAAAAACAGAACATTCTTGTTAACATGAACTATATAGTCCAGTGGAATAACATCAGGTCTTCACAGTAGAATTAGGACAGAACTTAAACCCCTCTGTGAGGATTTTTCATAAGTATTGCTGACGTTAACAGCCTTTAACATTGTAAAGTCACAAGATACAACAAGTCAGACTGCCTTTTTTAACTTTTAAAAAACTGTGCATTTAATATACTTTCAGGTTTCTCGTCATTGGTCTGGAGGTAGAGTTTTACCCGGTAACAGGCGATGCCCAGGTTCAGCCAGGTCAGGCAGGACGGCGACTGCTCGCAGGCCTGCAGGTAGACCACTTTGGCTTGCTCAAACTAAACATAGAAAACACAACAAAAAATAAAATATTTACTTACACTGTATTTGTTGTTTCATACAAGATATTTTACAATAATGTGCATTAACTTAAACGTAATGATAATAATTGTTTTGTCTGCCTGGTATATACAGCGCAATGATGTTATTACACATAGTTAATCACATTTAGGTATAGCAATAGAACATCAGCCCTATCATAACTGTGCTGCAAATTAAGAACTTGTACACAAAAAGCCAATTGCTGGCTTTTTCACCAATTTAGCTATTTCTTTAAATCCTCATTACAGAGTTCCTAATTTTTCCTGGTGAAGTTTGTGGTATTTTCTTTAAAAACCAGGCTGATTCATGAACAGAGTAAACTGCCTGACTGATCAGAGACCAGATCCAAATAATTTATTTGTGGAATTGGTTTCCGTATTTGCAGATCATTTTGATGTTATAAATCTGTTTTCGTATTTTCTTTACATTAACAGAGTACACATTAACACAGAGATGATGTATCTGTTCACACACATAGAGACAAATCTTCCTCCATAAGCCTGTCTTTAATATCTGACCTTTCTCTGTTGGAGGTAGATGGAGCCCAGCTGGAGGAGGACCAGGTGGGGGTCTGAAGGCTGCTGCAGGAAGTTCAGGCTCCGCTCATAGCTCTCCTGTGCGTCACTGACCTCTCCCCGCAGATGGAGACAGTGACCATTCATAGCCCACGCATCCACATCCTGTTCACCATGTATATGTATCATAAAATGAAAAAAAGTGCAAGTATGTCAAAATAGCACCTAAGTACAATAGTTGAGTAGATGTTCTCTGTTACTTTCCACCACATGTGCAGTAAACACATTATATCATATTACAATATATTTTTTTCTAACTACAAACAAAAAGGACATGATTGAGGAAGTTATAATTCCAAACTTAACAGAACAGTACATAGGCAGTAAACCATCCGGTACATGTCACATTATCCACCTGGTGCTGCTGAGTGTTGCGGTAAATAGTAGAAGATTTCAGTACCTGTTCTCTGTGGATCAGCACCTCCTGCAGGCTGGCTGCAGCACTGCAGTAGTCTCCTCTGAGCATCTGCAGCCGGGCCAGATGGAGAAGATAGGAGCCGCTGCGACCCCCGTGTGAGCACAGCAGCTGCAGGGACAGAGCCTGCCCCGCCATCTGACCGCAGGAACACAGTGACAACTATAAGCAACTACAACTTTTTGTTTTCTTTAAAACTGCTGACAATTGTAGCCATTGTTCATTTGAGCAAGCCAATGAAAGACGACAGAAATGTGTAGTCTAAGAAAAAACTTGCAGATTATCATTGTTATATTGTCTTATTCTCATAATTAGTTTTGACTTCCCAAAGTCTTTCAAACAGCTTTCAACAGGTAACTCTGATTTTCCAGATATTAGAGCACCAATTGTGGTTATAAATCCCTTTTGTAGCATAACACACACACATAACACACTTGGGGACACACCATTTCTTTACAGCAGTACTGCACACTGTTGTTGTTGTTGTTGCTGTTTAAACCACCAGCTGCTCAGTGTTTGTACCTGCAGGGCAGAGTGCTGCAGCAGGAACTGAACTGTCTCTGTGTAAATGGAGGAGGAGGAGAGTTTCGCTGAAGCTGATCTGGAGCTGACACTCTGTACTGGAGGCTCTCCTTGCACCTCTGGGTCCTGCTCTCCAGCCTCGGGGTCTGAAAGGAAATGAGGGTAACATTGTCAGGTAACATTAGCTGCCATTATCTTAAGGCTGAATGAGCGTATCAAAGTTACAGAAGATGAGACAAGTCCTATTTCTAAGTGAATGTGGCCAACAGAGTGTATGTGTTTTACTTATATTGTGTATCAACAATGTATCTTATCATGTTAACATTTTCTTTTCTCAGTCACTGCTGGCACAGAAATAACAATAATTTTCTCTCCAAGAATAGCATTTACTCATGTGACGAGAGAAAATGACATTACACTCTTCTGTTGCCTCTGACCTTTCTTAACAGCAGGAGCCGGGCATGCAGGCGGGGCCACGTCCTCCTCCTCTCGCTGGTCGTTCTCTTTCTCATTTTTCTCCTCCTTGTCTTGTTCCTCCTCCTCACTCTGTGTTTGCTCCTTTGCTTCTTTTGCCCTCAGCTGCCTTCTGGCCTCCACAAAAGCCCTCTCTGCCAGGATGGATTCGTTCTGGCTCTCATGAATCAACCCTGGAAAATATTCCCAGTAAACATGAAATGGGGTTGTACAATTCCCAGAGACCTTAAACACTCACAGCCGGGTCATTTAGGGTCATTTAGGGTCATTTGGGGTCATTTAGGGTCAGAGGATATGAATGTTTTTCAACCAAAGTTATTAATTGTTGATAATTCTCTAGATTTCATACATAGGCCTTTTTGATATGTTGTGGAGTCTTATTATTCTTATTTTTTCTTTTAGCTTTACAGAAAGCCTCTGAAACTCTATTTTATTTTCACCAACATTACTGCACTGAAACAGACCAATACATTTGAAAAAATTTTCCTCAGATATTTATTTGTCATCGGTTTTTAAACTCCTAAGGAAGTGCAGCGTTTGTACTCATTGCTGTTTTGAGATTAAGAATTGGGGGGGGGGGGGGATCTAAAAATTAAACTAAAGAAAATAATCTTAAAATAATATTCATACATAATATAATTTATGTACGGTATGTGTTCACAGGGTAAGGCAAGGCAAGTTTATTTATATAGCACTTTTCAACACAAGGCAATTCAAAGTGCGTTCCAAAAATGAAAGACATTAAGAGCATTAAACACATTAGGGTAAACAGCAGTGAGTAGGGAAACAGACTATAATCTCACCCAGCAGCGTCCATGCCACCACACTGTGTGGGTCTAAGCTGGCAGCTCTCTCCAGGAAGATCTGAGCCTCCTCGTGATGCTCAGACATCGCTGCCAAGACCCCACACATCATCAGGCTGGGGAAACACACACAGGCTTTCAGTGTTAACACCTTGTTTATCCACATCACACTGTTCAAACATAACCATTGAGTCACCTTCAGTAGACGTAAGCAAATATTTCACATATCCAGTTATAGATTACAGACCGGTTACCGGTTACAGATTTGAAATCGACACATGACGATTTTATTCCCAATAATAGAAAAATAATTATGATAAAAATAATACACTTAAGATTTTAGTATTGAGCTCATGGCTCCTCTTAATATGTAATTGTTCATTCTTATAAAGCAGAAATCATTTGTTCACCTTCTCTTGTAAATAATAACTCACTTTTTCTACAGATATTTTATGTTGAGGGTTTCTCACCTTGGTTGGTGTGCCTGTTGGATGGCAACAGCGTCATGGTAACACTCTCTAGCCTTCATGTAGTCTCCAGTCCTCATGTAGAGGCTTCCCCACTCAAATGTGTGGGATGGCTCACCGGGATGCCTCACCACCAGCTAGAGGAAAATAAGAGTGAATACATGCATTTTGATTGTATACCTTCAGTCTATATATATATACAGTGTTAGAGCTACATGTATGCTGTCAACCCTGCTCTGTTTCGTTTTTATACATCTTGTCATGAGTATAGTATACAGTTTTTTTTTTTAAAGTTATTTTCCTAATTTACTGTAAATTAAGTGCTTAAGTATCATGAATATGCTCTGGTACCTCTTGGTAGTACTGAACAGCCTGCTGATAATCCCCAGTTAGCTGAGCCTCTCTGGAAAAATGTCTGAGCTGAGAAGAACTCAACTGGATCTCATCCGGGGAGTCATCATTGATGTCATCTGAATAGATCTAGAGAGAAGGAGAAGAGAAAATAAATATATAATGTACAGTTCATAAACACATGTACTATAGTATTTATATACTGTGTGTGTGTGTGTGTGTGTGTGTGTGTGTGTGTGTGTGTGTGTGTGTGTGTGTGTGTGTTACCTTGTTTATAGCTGTGTGCATCTCGTCCACCAGGTACACGTAGAGCTTGCTGACAAAAGCCTTCAGCTCCTGAGGGTCAGTGAATGGTTCTGTCCTCTGCATTTTGTCTCGTACAATCCTCACCACTGCATGCTACACACACACACACACACACACACACACACACACACACACACACACACACACACACACACACACACACACACACACACACACACACACACACACACACACACACACACACACACACACACACACACACACACACACACACACACACACACACACACACACACACACACACCGAGTGTCAAAACCTAAGGGGCTACGGATCCAGAAATCTATTTTCCTGAGTTGTATTCCTCCACCAGGGATGTGTGCAGTTGTTCTGACCTTCAACTGTTCCTTGAAAGCAAAGTATCTCCCAGAGACATTGAGCGACCCCATCAGCTGAACCATCATCTGCTCCCGGCTGCTGCCTTCAGGCACCTTGCATCTCGATCCGAACAATTCCTCATGCTGGTCAGAAACATGGGTCACCACGCTGCCTACCTGCCTGTGAAAGTCCAGCACTGCCTGAAAGAGCACACAATCATGAAGAGAGTTCAGCAAGTAAACTGATCTCTACTTCTGTGTGTTTTTACTTGTGTCTGTATGTGCATGTATACAAGCTGTAAACCCAATAAATGTTTTACTCTCTCTGCTCTGCTATGACCCGGTGGAAGTGGAGATCTGGGTGGAATCAACGCTTTCACTCTGCAGGAAATAGAGACACATCTCAGAATTCGTGTTCAACATAAAGTCAAAGTCAAAAGTCAAAGTCAACTTTATTGACAATCTTCCAGTTTGTGTGTACAGACAGAGAGATCGAAATACCGTTTCCCACAATCCCGAATATAAAAACAAATGTGTATAAAAATGTAAAAAATATGTGTGCAAATATGTATATATATATGTCAAAGACACATTTTTACATGTGGACACATTAAGACCTAAATAAAAACACAACAATCAATATGTACAAAATAACAGTCAATTCAATATCATGAGAATGTACATTAGTGCAAGATTGTTCCAAGGGGCAACAGCCAAATGTAATATAGACCATAGAGTGCCATCGGATGGAATTCTGTCATATTAGAAAAGTTGCCTTTAAACGAGTAGGAGACACGTTTACGTGTCAAATAAATGTCTCAGTAACCAGAGGACCCTTATTCTTACATGACATGTTACTTGTTGGACGCTTTTACTCAAAGTGACTGACTCAATACTGTGGGCAATCCCCTCAGGAGCAATTTTGGTGGTGAAGTGTCTTGCCCAAGGACACGCCCAGATGCTGGGATACAGTGGGTATCAAGGTGAAATTGAACCGGTGCTTCTCTGATCTGAAGATGAGCGCACTTACCCACTGAGCCACACTCTCCCTATTATTTAAGACCTTACCTTCTAGAGAGCTCCTCCAAAGATGTTTTGGGTACCAGCGGTTTCTCCAAGGCTATATCAATGATAATATAGGTTCTGGCCTCCAAATACATCTGTCACAAACAATTCAACTGGATAAAGATGCAGTATATTACAGTATTAAGCATTCATGTTAGGAGTTTGTATTGCTGCTGCTCTAACTGGATCTAAAACAACAACGACAGTTTGAAAAAAATTGTGCTTTCTGTATAATACAGTACAGAGTTGTGATGCTGTTAGTTGAAGCTTACATTTCCCTCTATATTGACGTGGGGTTCAGTTTCAGCCAAAGTGTCGGCCACGCCGTCGGCTGCAGCCGTCCTGCTCTGATTACCAGGTTGCTGACATAATAAAAACAGGCTACATTAGGGCCCAACCTTCACAAACACCACCTGGACGTAAAGTTTGAAAAGTTACATTTTGGTGCATATCTCTCCTGACCATCACAACCTTGCTGACCTTTTTGGCTGGCTCCTTGGAATCCTTCGCTCCCCTCCCATCAGAGTTCCTGCCTGCTTTGGCCTTGTGGGAGCCTGCAGCGGAGGCAGCTCTAGCTTGGCGCTGATTGGCTGCAGCCTTGGCCTGCTCCTTTAACACACTGACACTCCGCTTGGCCTTTAAGATCAATGACAAACTCACTTTAATAGAGAAACAACAGTACATTCCACCATGGTACCAAGGTTCTTTACTACACCTTATAAATTAAAGTATTTTGTGACTATTTGAGTGACCTTTTTCAGCAACTCAGCCTCGGAGAAGGGAAGTATGCTGTATGCTCCCCGGATGCGGCTGACTCCAGGATACAGCAGCCGTCCCATGTCCACATACGCAATTCCATGGAAGGGGATCTCTTGGGCCTCCTTTGCTAGCTAAATAAACGCACGCACACACACACACACACACACACACACACACACACACACACACACACACACACACACACACACACACACACACACACACACACACACACACACACACACACACACACACACACACACACACACACACACACACACACACACACACACACACACACACAGGCTGGAGAGTTGACACTCAATACAGTAGAGACAGAAAGAGGAGACATTTCTGAATTTAACCTTTGATATCAAAGCCATCTCACCGTCTTGTTCTCTGCTGCTTTTGTCATCGGAGCCAAAGCCCTCGTAATCTCCAGCGGCCACAGTCTACACTCAGTGATCTTCTGCCGAAGCCTGAACATCGATACACATACTTTTCAGATATTTTTCTACCTCTATCCTTCTCTGTATTTTCAGGGACAGGTTGTCCGAAAGGCTATAAGACTGTTGAAGTCCAACTACTATTTTTACAACACATTTATATATCATTATAGTACACAGTATTTATTCAAATGTACAGTGTTTAATTTTAACTCTGTTTCATCTTATTCTATCTTATATGTATACATGTTTCTTAATCTGCAATTTACTTGTACCATTATGTCTATTACACTATTTTATTTCACTTTTTTTTAAACTGTTAAGTATATTGTATGTTGCTTTGTTGGAGATTTAGGTTTTTCATTTTCAGATCAGACAACTTCCAGGACTTCCAGATTACCTTTCCACTTGGCATAGATTGTCCAACTAATAATACACTTTTATTTTCCAGTATAATCTCTTTATGGTTATTGCCAACAGGTAGCATTATGATCAGAATGGAGCAGTGAGTTGTGTGTTTGGCTGACCTGGTAGTTCCTCCTGCATCCAGGAAGCAGCACATCTCAGTGTCCCAGCTCACCCTGCTCTTAGTGGACTCGGACTCATCACGAAACTCCCGGTCCTGTAGGAACATTCAGAACAGAAGTGTGACTGACCCTGTAAGTGAGCCTGCTTCCATGCTCAATTATTTAATTTGAGATGTTTCAATCTATAGTAATACAAACGCTACCCTATGTGTAATTTACTTTTTATATTTTAGTATTCTTAATACACTTCTAATATCAGTAGTCACTAGCCAAGCCTGTGTGCCTTATTATTCTCTTTTACTTCAAAGTCTGGTTGTATCTAAAAAATGAATAATATGAAATCCCTCACTTTCATGCATTTCCATGTTTTGAAAGTTACATTAATGTGCCATTCTGCTAAATCAATGTGCATTGCAGCTAACACAATCGGCAACAGATGCAGGCTAACTTTGTGGTTACCTCTAGGCCAGTCAGCTGGCCGTCCTCCTGTTCGAAGTGCTCTTCCTTGGAAAAGACAGCAGGCAGGAAGTGATTCCCCGGGACCAGCAGCGCTAGATGGGGCCTCTTCTTCTGTCGGCCCGTTTCCTCCCTCTGTCCCCCTGCCTTCAGCTGCCCCTCACAGAACACCAGCACCTGATCTTTCTGGGAGTCAGAGAAACCATAGAGTCGTTATATATTAAAATGAGTCACCCTGGAAAGGTTCAGATTTGATCTTGGTCTGAACTGGGCAGCATGGGTTTCATTTTGGTCGAACACTGCTAGTACCATTGTGCACCATGACACTCTTATAGATAAGATATTCAGCTACGATTAAAAGTTACAGACTGAATATTATACAAAGGTAATTGGTTCTGGTCATTAAAATAGCTTAAAGAAGTTACATGAGGATCAAAGGGTAACACCTGTGCAGTCAGCGGGACCTCCATGGCAGCAGTGTATGTGCAGGGAGGGGGGGTGGGGCCAGACTGCAGCGTCCACGGCTCAGGGATGGAGAAGGCTGTCTCCATGGTTACCCTCAGCAGGTTGGAGCCTGAGAGTTCAGTCTCAGACAGCAATGGATCCGTCACACTGACACACACATCCAAGGTCGGTTGCTGAAGAAGGTGAAATTATGAGGCACATTTTAATATATTTTTTCATTACATTTCCTGAAAATATCATTATTCGAATTACAGATAGGGCAACTTTTCTGTTCATCATTGATACCCAGAAGACTTAATGAAAATCAAATTCCCACCTATTTTGTTAAGTAGGTAAGTGGCCTTATTACCATTTCATCTTGAATCAAAGTGGTTTTCATCTTGTGCAGGCTTTCATTTTAGGTATAACTATTGGTACTTGTTATTATGTTTATAAAGTGCATCCTTATAGGCCAAATGTCCACATGGTGGAGGTACCTGCACTGCAGCCCACTGAAACCAAGTGTGATCAGAGACTGTGGCATGGGAATGCTATGAGAGCTATTCAATATAACAGATCAAAGATGTCACTTGGTTAGATATTCACCCTGTAGCTGTCCTATAGCTCTAGTGAGTTGATGGGATTACCTGACTCCTCCACTTTGGGATGACTTGGTTGGCCACCTGCTTGTGTCTGGCCCTACATGCTGCCTCCACATTCAGCCTGCTCTGTGATTGTAGAACATTCACTGATTAACACATCTGGAAGAAACAACTACCGTCTATTTAACGTCTCATCCATTCATTCTCCAGACTAACTCAACAAAAGTTTGGTGATAATGTAAAATCGTTTATCACCATATATTAACATTTACCGAAATACAAAAATGCATACAATTGTAATTTTTGTGACTTTTGCTTTTATTCGTACACCTAGAGATTGACAACAAGGTAGAGAGAGAGGGGAGAACAAGCAGAAAAAGGGCAGCATGTCTGATCCCAACACTTTCCTGGAAACTTAAAAGAGAAACTAATGATAGGAAAGATAACTAAATGTTAACGTCTGTTTATGGTTAAGACACTCATCTAAATATCAGCAGTATTAGAGGAATGGCTACAGAAACTCAGTAGATATGGTATAACAATACGTCTACAGATTGATGGCAGGACAATTAAGAGCAATATTTTTTTTGTGGAAATGTCTGGCAATTAGAATAGTCAGTTTGTTGCACGAATGACAAAATAATGGCTGTGTAGTCGCCAACATGCATTTTTGCCATTGGTACCCTATTTTGGTAACTTTAAATCATTGCATTTAGGATTGATAATTAATATGGACCATGACAGGCCTCAATTGATGTAATACTGCAAGGTTAATATTTTTCTTCCATTGTACTTGTAACATTTTCCAAAACAAATGTGCAATCAATTAATACCCCCCAAAAAATGTACGCATTGTAAGTTTGAGTCTCTAACTGAGGCCCCTGTGCAGTTTTAATTTAGTCTGGTTGCAAATCTAGCCTTGAATACATATATAGTTAACATTTATTTTAGCTAAAATACTTAACTCTTATTAAGTTCGACAAAATTAAAGACAGAACCTAGAGAAAAAAAAATGTGCCCTTATATGAAGTGCATAAGAGAATGTCACATCTCTGATATTTAAAGAAGCAATGACCCTGTCTGACAATAGATGAATGATATCATTAAAAAGTGATTAACCAATGGACCTTTGAGCCAATGTCCTGGGAAGAAGCTTTGGCTGAGGGGCTGTACACTGGATTCAGTGGAACTGTGGACGAAAAGCTGCACTGACCTGAAGACAGAAGAGAACACCATGATCCAGCAGTGAGTGTTGCCCTGTACAGAACGCCCTATGAAGTAAATTGCTGTTTCCTTTTTTGTGTACCTTGTAGCAGCGGCAGCAGGTCCACCACAGCTTGGCCCAGCACGGCTGTTTTCGCCTCAGCTTTCTTCTCCTCGGGCAGGACCTCTCTCACTGTCACTGACCACAACAACACCATTAAACAGAGCTGTGAGAACTGTTACAGGCATGGAAACTTCAGGAACATCTCTGTGCTACTTCAACAGTAAGCACACTACCACCAGTGTTATGGCAATGACAGTTTAATCTTTCAGTTAAGCTGCTTGTCAGGGATTCTTTGGCAGGGATTCATTGGGAATGAGCATGCTATGTCAAGGCAGGATATCTGCACATAATAATTCATGGATGGTTGGCAAAACGACCAATAATGCTGTCATGAATATCACCATCAACTGACACCAAAAATGCAGAAGAACTCAAATCTGGTGATTTCAGATGTTGAACATGAACTTTAACAGTTTAGCCAGTAACTTAAACATTAGGCCAAGAAAATTAACTTGAAGTTGGTTTATTTTGCATGTTGGTCATAAGGGAGCTATGTAAGTTTCATCTTTAGTGTTGGTACAAATATTAACAAACTAAACTGCATTAAATCACCAGTTTGTGCAGTAAAATGTATTTGAATCTAGGTCACAATCCTCAGTTTTGTAAATAAATTACAAATAATCAACATTTTATTTTACAAAATGTCAGCTGCACATAGGACATAAATACGAGACCTTTTCTGTGGTAAAATAACAATTCATCACCTTTGTAAAAGCAGCCTAAATCTGACATTATCAGCTAAGCTAACTTTGGCTTTTAAGAAGACACTGGAGATTAAAACAACAAGAGTTAACAAAAGTTGAAAGAAGCGAAGGTGTGCGACCAGATGTTTAGATATTTCAGTGTATCAGATATCAAGAGACAGAACAACACTTTTAAACTCAACTTACATATGATGGGTTTATGGGCGAGGTCACTGAGAGCCTGAGTGTTATTGGAACAGTGAAAGCTGCAGGTAAAGTCATAATCAACACGCTGCTCCACCGGGTCGACCTGCTTCCTGTCTGACTCTCCCAGCACATTTTCATCCACCTGAACCTGCAGAAAACTCTGGAAGCCGTCTGTCTTTTTTCCTTGCTGAAAAGAGAAGACAGGATAAGTCACACTTATAACTGTAAATACGCTGATGATATGGCTCATGTCAGCCTTCTAAAGGAAGGGGAAATTCTGTAATTTAATTGAGTAACATCTTCCAGAACAGGTGTCAGTGAAATACTAAATGTTTTGAACTTAATTTAAGATGATATAAAGATTGTTTAAAAAAAAAATGCTATGCAATGGATAAATGTTGCTTCTCATAACTTGAAACAGAGTCTTACATCAACATTAAGTGTTTCTAAAATGTGGCATTTGCCATGTTTACCAAGTGAATTTTGTGAGTAAATTCCTCCATTAGTGAATGTAATGCAATATGTATTTACTACAATAACAGTCTTACCTCATATTAGAGCCAAACTGAACCAAGAGATAAAGGTAACTCTTATTCAATATTTGAGCAATATAACATTACACGCCTTGCTTCCAACCTAAGGTGATAACAATCAGTAAGATGGGGTTAACTTTCAGTTTTTGGGTTTAGTAAACCGTAGCTGAAATAAAAGGTTAAATGCACATTAATAAACTCTGTTGGCTAAGCACATTTCTGTCGTTGTAGCCGTTTGCAAGTTAGCAACAAACATGTGTGAGGTGCTTTACTTTTTTTATATATTTAGTTAATTGGAAAGAGCTTACCAGGTTATTTCCACGGATGACAGTTATTTTTATATTTGTATAGTCCGTTTCTGCAGTATCTCCTGTCGTCTCCATTGTGTAGTAGACTAATGATTTAGCTCCTGTTCTGATCCTTGGTTGATCTTTTCCTTGGATACACAGAATTCCGTTTCCTTGGCAACTGCGCTACACATGGTGGTGCATTAAGGTAGAGCCTTGAAATATCGGACGTTGGAGAACACTTCTTAAATAAAGGTGAAACATCTCCAGCATGCTGTTTCACTTACAGTGGTAAATGTGTATAATATTTGTACTAAAAACATATTGCAGTGCGTTTCAACTCGGCCTACAATACATTTATTTCCGTTAGGTAAACGGACTCTTTTGGAACACTTTTGTCAAAACAAAACAATAAAACCAAATGTATTCTTCAGATATTTATTGTTGTAGTGTAGATATGTATCCTATATATGCACAGTGTATTTGTTGTACTCATATGTAATGCCTGATAACCTAGTTCTAACAATTTTGGATCAATAAACATACGTATTAATCTAAATAACTGATTTGTTTTAACCGTTGTCCCCAGCAGGCCTCCGCCACAGAGGGGGCGCTGCAGCTCAGAGTGAGCGCTCCTTATCCGCCGTTACGTTTGTAGGCACAGCTAACTACTTCCGGAAGTGTATTATCAATGATTTTGCCACTTGTCTGAGATTAAAACACTTCTCTTGTGTTTGTCTTTTGTTGTTGTCAAAAATGTCGTACAACTACGTGGTAACAGCCCAGAAACCTACGGCGGTGAACGCCTGCGTCACAGGTAAGTCTCCGCGGGTTGTTGTTTTTCTCAGGGCTGCATGAACATTCGCCACCTGCGTGCTAGCTGAGCTCCCGCGCTGCAAATACAGTGGTCCAGACGGGCCTGTAGCAGCCGATAGCTGTTGTTTTGCTAAGTCAAATGTTTACTTGCTTGTCTAGGCATACTTTTATGCATGTAAGTAATGACACATACTCCTTTATGTGTTTATATAATGTATGTTCTAGCGCACACATGGCCCGGTTCAACATTTCGTTGGTTCTTGGTTTGGATCCGACGTTAGCTGTTGTTGTGTCGCGTTTGGTTTCCCCAGATCATAATGCGTTTTCCTCTGCTGACCCACATTATCATACATAAGCACAGTTATTGAACTCTGCGAGAAACATTCAGGCAGATGGTGTTTAGCTTTCTGCTCGTCTGACAAATAGCTTCTCCTGTTATTAGAAAGCTGGCGTCGTCGTTAGATCTAACGTACATGGGCCATTACATATACGATAAGATACTGATGCTGAAACTGACATTTGAGGTGGTAGTATTAATTGAATCACCTCACATTTATCCTATGAATGATATCATGCTAAAGCAATCCTTGTCCCATTTACGTTAACAAATTTGAGCTTGTTGTGGCATACATTTTAGATTTGGACATGTACACATGGCATGCCTCTCTAAACTCCAGTGTCTAACGTGAACTTTTTCTTTCTTTTTTTCTTTTAACAAGATTTTCTCTAATTATAATGTAAAAAAAATGGGCTTCTTACGAGGTGCATTCTCTATGTATTCCCATATCTCTGTATAAAAATGCTTCACTGCAAGCCTGCATCATACTGTAATGATGTTGATCTACATCTAAAATCTTCAGAGATGGACAGTATACAGATACTATCTGCAACTGTTAAACTTTTACTTTAGTCAATGTTGAAATCATTTCTTTATTTGAGTTATTAACTGCACAGTCAAAAGATCTTGAGGAAATAATATATGCCTGTCAATCATCTGAGCCGGATGTCTTAAATGTCCTTTGTTGTTTGACTATTCAATTTAAATGTGCTTGCTTAACTTTCTTTCAAATCTTTAAAAATGCTTTGTGCAATTATTATGAGGTGAATTGCACATTCTGTCGACGATTGCACACGTATAAAACACTATGTCCGTACTTATTTTATTTTATTGGTGGGCAAATGTTTTAGTTCATGGCCTCTCTGTGGCCACATAGTGGTTTTGTTCAATCTCTATGTTTTGTGTTGTTATTGTAGTAGGCTAGTCTTTGCTGTTAGTTGTGACTTGATTTTGTTTGTTTTGTTAGATTTTGTTACTGTCTTGCTGTTTGTACTTTGTTAGGACCCCCTTGAAAACGAGATATTTCATCTCAAGGGGTTGATTCCTTAACATGTCAGTTAAAATATTTAAACAAATGTTTGGGTTTTGACAAATTACTATACATTTAATAAATCACTACAATTGACCATGTTATTGATCAATGTACAAGTTGTTTGAGTAATAACTGTGGTTTAAGTGTTTTATTCTTATCTGATTGTTGTAGCTGAGTGAAATGAGCCTGGTTTTAGTTTCTCAGTTTTGAACATTCTTTGCTTTTGTCTGTTAACAATATTATAGTATTATAGAATGATATAGTATGAGATACCTTTTTGTTTTTGTAACCAAACACATTATGTTAAACATCAGGTAAATCCATAGTAAAAATAAGTGCTGACCTTTCCATGTCATCTTTTCCTCTACGACTCCTACCAAGACAACCGTGTAATTAACTTATTATAAATACATTTTTTGCCTATAGGTCACTTCACCTCTGCAGATGACCTCAATCTGCTCATAGCTAAAAACACACGGTTGGAGATCTATGTGGTCACAGCAGAGGGGCTGCGGCCCGTCAAGGAGGTGGGCATGTATGGGAAGATTGCTGTCATGGAGCTCTTCCGGCCAAAGGTGAGTGTTGTGTGGTTTGTAGTAATGTGTACAAGTTTATGAAAAATAATTAGTTGGTGGGCTCTTGGAATAACTCAAGAACTACATGTATTTGTTTTGTTTCACCATGGACGAGTTTCTTGGCTAATTATTTAACAAACCTTGTTATTTGAGAAGGAATGCACATATCGAGGGGTGAGAACCAGAGGGGCGCAAGTGACATTTTGGTCAAAAATGAGTTATATATAGCAAATGAAAGCTCTTTCTACTGCCAAAACATTGCATGTGAATTCTAAAAAAAAAAAAAAGTGCCCCGGCACTTATTACCCCAGGGCACTTAGTACAGATCGCGTTCACACCGGAATAAGTTCCCTGAGGGAAGATTATGCAAATGAGTCGCTGACGTCACTTCGTCTTCTTCTGCTTTGGGTTTACTGGCAGGCCGCAAACCACTACATGGTGTATACTGCCACCCGAAGTCCCCGGCCGGAAGTCCCCGGAGTTAGGGTTCAGTAGAAGCTTCTACTGAAGCCTTCCGAGTAAATCGCCAGAACGCTGACACCTCCTCATCTCCACCGCTCCCATATTTTATTTTGTGTTGCCATAAGTTAGTCTCTGCGTTTGTGCGCTGGGCTAATGCTAATGCGAGGATAATAAAATGGCGGCTCTACAAAACATTTCAGAGTTTTACGGGGCGTGGTTTGCAATTCGCCCAGCCAATCAGAACTGGGGCACTTTTTTCCCCCAGGAAAGTACCATCTCTCAGCAGGCACTAAAAATGGGGGTAAAAGTTCCCGGCACTAAGTACTCTTTTTGGTGTGAACGCGACATAAGGGGTACTAACGGAAATAAACGCGAAAAGTACGGGGAAAAGTACTCCGGTGTGAACGCGGCCAAGATGCAGAAGAGAATGAAATAATCCAGGATTCAAATTCAATGACAAAGGAAACTTTCTACAGATCCATCTTCAACAGAGAATTCAACTCATCAGAGATCAGCACATGCATGTTCCAGTATCTGTGAACTCTTTCAGATACTGAGCATGTGGTGCTGTACTCTGACACATGTGGTGGGCAGAACAGGAATGCTGGTTTTAGTGCCATGTGTCTCCATGCAGTTAAAACCTTGCCCATCTCCATTATTGACCATACATTCATGGAGTCTGGTCACAGCCAGATGGAATGTGACAATGTCCATGCAGCCATTGAGACCGCCAGAAAAAAAGTGCCTGTGTACAGTCCGGAGGGGTACTACACTCTTGTGAGGATGGCAAGGAGGAACAGGGCATACAAGGTGATTGAGCTTGGGCACAGTGACTTACTGGATTTCAAGTCCTTCTCACAACACACGGTCCGAAACGGAACCAAAGACACAGAGGGACAAACAGTTAGTTGGCAGAAAATGAAATGGCTGTGCTACACAAAAGAGGATCCGAAAGGCATTCAGTTCAAATATGAGCTGTCCGACCAAGCTGCAAGTTGGAAAGCAGGAGACCAGAGGTGCTCATGCAATTGAACCAAAGAAGATGCACACAGGTCCACCTGGGATCACTGCTGTGAACTGTGTACTCACACTGTGCACAAATGGGAGTATCCCTCACTCCTATGTGGACTTCTACCAGTCTTTGCAAGTCATTCAGGCAGAGTAGGCTAGTATGTCGTTTCAAATCAATCTGAAATGTACATGATCTGCATGAAATATGCTGTTGTCGTATATAATTTATATTGCTATATTTGACATTCCCAATGTTCTAAAGTCTTTTTTGATTTGCCAAACAGTTATTAGGCCAGGTTTAATGTAATTTATTGTTATTCAGTGAACTAATGTGATATTGATATTTTATATTATCACAATGGACTCTGTAGCCTATTTTTAATTGGTTATTTGGGGAGATGGCTAAACAATTAACTATTTGGCAAAATGGTTATTAATGTTTTTTTTTGGAACAATTACATTGAATGAACTAATATGATATAAGGATATTTTTATATGATATTTTTATTATAACAATTGATTACTGTTACTTTTCAACTCATAAATGTAAAGCCTTTTTCCTATTTTTATCAGATACGCCCTTTTTGTTAGTGTATATGAGATAAAATCGTAGTTCCAAAAAGACGCATGTGACTTTCTTCCGAATAAAAAAAAAAAAAAAAAGATAGAAGTATATTTTTTTTCAATGAATGTCAAAATATCGTTCATTAAGTATGATTTAATTTGATAAACAAAGTCAGGACAAAGTATGGTCATTTTTTGTTTTGGCTGTCCTGTTAAGTTGGTCAAATGTCACTTACGCCCCCTCTGGTTCTCACCCCTCGATATATTATAGGGAGGGGGGGCAGGAGCTCCAACAAGC